ATTTTGCGTATTATTTCGTTCTGTCAGATGATTCTACATTCAGACCCTCTCAAGACTCGAATTCGGTTTCGTTCGTTCGTTTTCGTTTCGGTCGTATTGCTTTTCGCAATGAGAATGATTATAAACAATTAATTGGGCTAAAAAATTACCATCAAACGGATAGAGCGCTCGACAGGTTCCCAACGGTGGTGGTGCATCGACCTCGTCCGCGTAGTAATCCTCACCTCCACTGCCAGGCAACGACGTTCTCGACGCACCGAGTCCAGATTCCGGGCTATTCGTGGAACTGTGCATGAGTACCGTAAAGCGAATACCTTGTCTATTTGCCTAACTACTGACCTAATTCTACTATCGGCATTATCATTCGGCAATCGATCGAATAATCGAATGATGTGACCAATGCCAGGAGCTTCAAGTCTCAAGATAACAAACTGAAACCTGTTTCAGTGAGATTAACTCAAAGAGGAATGACATAAACTCACTCATGACTTGGCTGTGGGGTCCCTGGTGCACTCTTCTTGTGCACTGGTTGATTGGCATTGGCATTGCTAACGCTTGAGTCCGATGCCGATCGCGACAGACTCTCCTCGCCGCCTGAGTGACTCGATCTCCTCGAATTTGTTGATCGTGTCGTAGAACCGTTACTCGTTGGCTTCCTCGAGGCTTGACTGGGACTTTAAGATTAATGAAAAAATTTCAGTATTTATGACGTTTGGAGACAACTCGGGGCAGGGATAGCCAGGTCGATCAGCTTCATCAATTATAATTACTGTTAAATTATTAAGCAATTAATTCAGTAGCGAAGCGGCAAACCGGATTAAGTCGATTGTGACTATCGGCCAGTTTTTGACGAATATCTCGGAATCTAAAAGAGATAGAAAATTTTTTGTCATGACCTTTTTTGTAGAGCCAATTGAGAGTTGTAAAAAAGGTCATAAGAACAATTTTGCTAACTCTCTTAGATATCGGTGGAATTCTAAATTTACAAAAAAAATCGTAAAAATCAAACCAACGATTACAGTTATCGCTTTAATTTTTGAACGCGTCGAAGAGACATCCAAATAATGTCTTTAGCCGTCATTCAATAAATTCACAACATTATGTTTAAGTTATGGTGGGACAATCGATTTTTTAAAAAATTCTAGAAATATAAATTCTAAAATATAATGTAATGATGAAATTTTAATTAATGTCGATAGACATCGTTCAACAATACCTCCATTTAAAAAAAACTCTTCAATTCACATTCAACACGACAAAAGATCTCTTCAAGGAAACATAATTTTCCGTCAGAATTAATTTTTTCTTTCAGTTCAGACGTGATGAATCACGATGAGTCAATTTCACTCGAAGCTCAGTCTCCCCAGAAAATCTGAGACTGCAAGGAATCATCATCTCCCCACTCAACAATTTCCCCTCATCCCAAATAGTTCAACCCAAAGTCAGTGAATTGGAAATTCCCACGAGGAGAAAACGTCGATGCAGAACCAATGAATAAATAAATAACCAGATACCTTCACCGATTTATCTTCTCATGCAGTTTGATCATGAATTTGAACCTTGGTAAATCTAATTGAATCACGCAAATGGCAGAGATGAATAAAATGGGTTACCTTGAGAGGCCAGCGCCTGCTTTTATGGCTTCCTCGAGATATCCCTGAAACTTGGCCAACTCGCCACCCAGTTTGTCCAGTTTATGGCTCGATTGATTTAATTGGCCTTCTATACTCATAGGATCACCAAGTGCTGGATTCTGCTCGTACACACCTTTCATCTTCATCAGTCCATCTCTCGCTGCTGTTTCCTGCTGTATTTTCGCTTGAATATCGTCCAATCGCTGTTGCAAACGCTTTTTCCTCTGATTCGGTGGCAAATCGCTGCAATCCTCCTTCACACCGTCACCATAACCAGGCACATTGTTCTGAAATTATCAATTTTCATTACATTTTTACCTATTCATTGAACCATTCAAACACAGACATAAAAATGGTCGAGAGCCACGAGAAACACGTGATTATGAAGTTGTTAAGACGCTGTGATTTTTTATTTTGTGATATTGTCTAGAGACATTAAAACAAAAAGTGTAAAGGAATTAATGAAAAAGCTTGTTACAACGAAAGTAATGAGGTCTGGATCGAACTGGTGGAGCATAATGAGTCGAATGACCATTTTTGTAATCATGAAATTATTTCAGGAATGATTTATTTTGGAAAGTCGGAGGACCTTTCTTCAATTATCTCTCTATATTTTTTAAAAATTATAATGATCTCTCTATATTATAACAATCAAAATCGACTTCTGGTGATAAAAATTTAGTACTCGAAATTAGGACTTCGAAATGAAGAGTCACAAGGGTCAACATAAGAGTAATGAAGGTCAGAATAAGTGTCATGAGGGTCAAAAAAGGTTCATAAGGGCCGGTATAAGGGTCACAAGGGTCCGAACAAGGTTCATGAGGGTCAGAATAAAGGTCACAAGGGTCGGAATAAGAGTTACGAGGGTAAGATAAAGGGTCATGAAGGTCAGAATAAGGGTCACAAGGGTAGAATAAAGATCCAAATAAGGGTCATGAGGGTCACGGGCTCAAAATAAGGGTCACTAGGGTGAGACCAAGGGTTATAAGAGGCAGAATAGGAGTCACGAGGGTCAGATTAAGAGTAACAAGGATCAGATTAAGGGTCGTGAGGGTCAAAAAAGGTTCATAAGGGCCGGTATAAGGGTCACAAGGGTCGGAATAAGGGTTACGAGGGTAAGATAAAGGGTCATGAAGGTCAGAATAAGGGTCACAAGGGTCTGAATAAGGGTTGCAAGGGTAGAATAAAGATCTAAATAAGGGTCATGAGGGTCACGGGGTCAAAATAAGGGTCACTAGGGTGAGACCAAGGGTTATAACAGGCAGAATAGGAGTCACAAGGGTCAGATTAAGAGTAACAAGGATCAGATTAAGGGTCGTGAGGGTCAAAAACGGTTCATAAGGGCCGGTATAAGGGTCACAAGGGTCGGAATAAGGGTTACGAGGGTAAGATAAAGGGTCATGAAGGTCAGAATAAGGGTCACAAGGGTCTGAATAAGGGTTACAAGGGTAGAATAAAGATCCAAATAAGGGTTATGAGGGTCACGGGGTCAAAATAAGGGTCAATAGGGTGAGACCAAGGGTTATACGAGGCAAAATAGGAGTCACGAGGGTCAGATTAAGAGTAACAAGGATCAGATTAAGGGTCGTGAAGGTCAGGATAAGGGTTATAAGGGTCAAAGTAAGGGTCCAAATAAGGGTCATGGGGGTTAAAAACGAAGAATAAGAAATTAAGAGTTACTAGGGTAAAAATAAGGGTCTCGAGGGTTACAATGAGGGTCAGATTAAGACTACAAATAAGGGTCACAACGGTCTGATTAAGGATCACAAAAGTCAGATCAAGGGTACAAATAAGGCTATCAAGTGTTAGATTAAGGGTTCTAAATAAGGGTCACAAGGATCAGATTAAGGGTCCGAATAAGGGTCATAGGGTTAAAAGCCAAGGGTCAGAAACTAAGGGTTACCAGGGTCAAAATAAAGGTCACGAGGGTTGTAATGAGGGTCAGGTTAAGGGTCACGAGGGTCAGAATAAGGATCATGGCTGCGATATGGAGATCATATGTGGGTTGGCGAGTGGAGCGAGCAGGGGGCGTAACCTCCTATTTCAATTACGTGAACAAAAATATTCACATGAAAATATAAATCATTTGTGAAATAATTTCGCAATGGAAAGAATGAGGAAATGCGACTGAGTTAGTCCCACCACTTCAATGCAGATTCGAAAAATGAAAGCACTCATAACGAAAAAATAATTACAAAAAGACAGACAGACCTTTAAAGCTATGCACACCTCGATCAACTTCTGCCGTTTTTTAATTTTTGCATGAAACAAATCACAAAAGCCATATCACTTTCCATTGATGACATTATTAACATTGTTAGTAGGCAAAACACAAGAATTTGTGGCTTTGCGATTCATAATTTCACAAGCAGAAAAAATATTTAGCACTTTCTCGAAGCCAAGTACTTACAAAAGAAAATAAAATCCCCAATTTTATTGTTGATGGATTTGTTGTGAACAAACGTCAGGTAGATTGAACCAACCACCGAATTTTCAAATATATAAAAAAGATAAATAAAAAAATGTGTTTTTATTATTGCGAGAGACATTAGTGAAATTGTTGACAATTATTAACATATTTTAATTGTGAAGTGGACAAACGGAATGAGGTGGGATTCCATTTGAGATTAGTTGGTTGGAGATATCTCGAGAAGATATTCAGGTAAAAATTTGCAGTGAAGTGGCAAAAAAGAATGATTTGAACTCTTATGAGAAAAAATGAAAATTCAATGGAATTCTCAAGTTTTGAGCAGCAGCAGGAGTAGAATTTCCAAATTACATTGAAGTTTCAATTAATTGCAAAGTTAAGAATATATTCCCCTGGATTTTAGTGAATTCTATTGAATTTAGTGGAGTAATTGAATTGAAATTAATCATTTTCGATGACTTTTTCATCAAATCGAGATTTTTCAATTAGGAAATTCCTTGAAATGTTAATGAAATTGTCATTTAATGAAAATTTTCAATAAATTTATCAAATGTCAGTCAATAATTTTCAAGTGTATTGTGTTCATTTTTGACAAATCATATAAATCATAATTTTGATTATGAGTGACTTATCTCGAGAAAATATTCATGTAAAACGTTCTCTTGAAAGGGAAAAAGAGAATTAATTGTATCCTTATAGAAAAGATTGGAAATTCAATGGAATTCTAGAGTTTTAAGCAGCAGCAGAAGTAGAATTTCAATTTTTTTTTAATTTCCAAAATTACATTGACGTTTCAATTAATTGAAAACTCAAAAATATATATTCTCTTGAATTTTAGTGATTTCTATTAAATTTACTGGAGTAATTGAATTGAAATTAATCATTTTCGCTGATTTTTTTATCAAATAGAAATTTTTCAATTACAAAATCCCTTGAAATTTCAATGAAACTGTCATTTGGCGAAAATGTTCAATAAATTTCAATAAATTGTGTTCATTTTTCACAAACTAAATTTCTCATAATTCTGATCATGACAGAATTATTATGGAAAGGTCCCAGAAAACAGTATTGCAACATTATTCCCTAGTCACTGAAAGTTGAAATAAATTCATATTTGAAATGACGTAACAAATCAACTTGTTCTCTTACGCTTCGCCACCAACTACTTCACTCATTTCGGAGTTGAATCCACTCATCCTATTGTGCCACTTCGCAGTAGATTCAATATTAGTAGAGCTGTAACCAGTGCTATATTGCGACAAAGCCAAGGATGTTGAACGTATGATAAAAAATGCATCGTAATTTCATATTGCCATTCACGTATGAAAAAAAAATGGATAAATAAATTTTAATTCTCAAAATTTATTGGAAAACTAGTGCTTTCACTAAGAAATTCTATTGCAGTTCGCTTAAAGTTCTAAGAAATGAATCTCTTCATTTTTTATTCCTATTCTATTGAAGATTATGTCATTATTTGATAGGATTTTAATAAAAAAACTCGATAGATTTTCATTTATCTAAAAGAATTCTCTTCAACTGTATTTTTACTTGTCATCCATAATGAAATAGGAGAAAGACTTGGCAAATTCATGGCAATGAATTCTTGTAACAAATCCCAGCAGAATAATTTCAGTAGTGAAGCGGTAAAACGGTTGAAGTCGATTTAGCTCTCGGTTGAGTTTTCGAGGAATATCTCTGAATCTGGCGGAGATAACTAAAATATCGTAATGACCTTTTTTGGAGAGTGAATTGAGGGCTACAAAAAAGGTCATGACACAAATTTTGCTATCTCCCTTAGATTTCGAGATATTCGTGCTCGAACCGTTGTACCGCTTCGCTACTGATTTATATTGTTACGAATTGCTAATCAGTTGCATTCCATCATGCTTACGTTCTTCTCTTTCCCCAACCTCTCCTCTCAAATTCGCATGGCTTATTTATTACTCTCAATTCTTTTCTTTGATTCTAATGTCATTTAGTCTTTTCTCTTCGTTACATTCTTCTGTTTTTAATGAATATCAGTTTATGTAAACCCACGAGATTTTGGATGAGGAATAAATTAACATCATCTAATTGAGGCACAAAATTAATGGAATTTTTTTTCAACAGAATTATCATTAATTTTGTAGTTTAAAAGTGAAAAGAATTGTAGAATTACTGAAAGAAAACACTAGATTTATCTATGAAATTTTTTCGTACGTGCTGTAGTGTCAGAAACACGTGAAAGATAAATTAGAAACGAGATTTGTATCACGCCCCTTTGACACTACAGTGAGGAAATGTTTAGACGAATTATCGCGCTGATATCATAGCTTATCACCCCTAGTATCTCTAGTACCTCTTCTGATATGCGCATGCAATCGAATGTCAGCGGAAATTGTATTCTTCAAAGTATTAGAATTTAATTATTTAATTATTATCATCATAGAATAATGAATTGTAGCTTATTAACATTAATTGTAGCAAAGTGTTCGTGAGATGAGATTTAAAAATAAAAAGAAGAAGAGAACTGACGAATTTCCGAGAGAATCCGCAATGAGTGCAATAAACAAATCATTTGGTCACAGGAAAATTGAATAATTCTACTTTCTTAATATTGCGTTTACTAAGGTTTTCTTCGAACAAAGTTGATTAGAATTAATAGCTACAATTATGAGATTACCTCACATTTTTGACGTTAAAAATGGGAGAATCTGAATGCAATATAGTGAAAATGATGATCGATTTTTTCACTTTGAACAAATAATATTAATATCCAAATACAAAATTTCTGATATGAATAGAAAGAAGCTGTGACTCAATATTCCAAATGAAGTTTTAATTTTTAATTTGGTGCTGAAAACACGAGATGACAATATTCTAAGCACGGAATTATATTGATGAGATGAACAACAGATTAATTGAATTATCGTGTGAACTAACTAAAAATTGATAACAGTGTGGGCACGCAATTTTACCAGAGTATCAACAAACATTGAATTCCAGAAATTCACACTCTAAAGTGTGTTCTAGAAGGAATTTAATTGTAATTATGATTAAAATCTTATTCAGTGAGCATAGGAATTAGAACATGAGCAAATCATTTATTGTAATATGAAAATTTAACAGCTGATAAATTGGAACATATGATTCTCAGCTGTTGTATTGCACCTAACAAACAAAAGAGAATCGAATATCATTCTATGAAACATGAATAAACGAATCATAATTACCAAAATCATTTAGGTCACAGGAAAATTGAATAATTCTACTTTCTTAATATTGCGTTTACTAATGTTTTCTTCGAACAAAGTTGATTAGAATTAATAGCTAGAATTATGAGATTACCTCACATTTTTTACGTTAAAAATAGGAGAATCTGAATGCAATATATTGAAAATGATGATCGATTTTTTCACTTTGAACAAATAATATTAATATCCAAATACAAAATTTCTGATATGAATAAAAAGAAGCTGTGACTCAATATTCCAAATGAAGTTTTAATTTTTAATTTGGTGCTGAAAACACGAGATGACAATATTCTAAGCACGGAATTATATTGATGAGATTAACAACAGATTAATTGAATTATCGTGTGAACTAACTAAAAATTGATAACAGTGTGGGCACAAACATTGAATTCCAGAAATTCACACTCTAAAGTGTGTTCTAGAAGGAATTTAATTGTAATTATGATTAAAATCCTATTCACTGAGCATAGGAATTAGAACATGAGCAAATCATTTATTGTCATATGAAGATTTAACGAGAATGATTATAAACAATTAATTGAAGAAAGGAATATCGAATCTGGGTGTCGCTAATGCGTGAAAATAAAGACTGATGACAGATATCTATGAAAACAGCGCTGAATCATCCAGATAAGAACTGATAAAAAATTTGAATTACCTTGTTACTGCTGAAAATTCCGAATATTCCGACTCTTTTCTTAATTTTCCCACCAGAAACTGTACCTTTGACGGTCAAATGATTGTGTATCGGTTGCATTGCAGGCTGTGATAATTGTGTATTACTGTCGTATGTCTTGGCATCAGACAGGTCCTCGAATGGAAAATCACCAGGTGGTGTGAAGCCACTCTTGTACCGTTCAATCACCAACATTGTGTCCTCCTTCTCATTAATTTCATTCGCCGCCCTCTCGATTCCATCCAAACACTTGGCAATTATTGGTGCCACCGCTCGTTCAATGTCTGCTGATTTTAACATGTAATTCCTCATGTTTTTTATTCTCTTCTCGTCCAACTCCTGCACAGATCGAAATAGAAAAAAAGTCGAGTGAATGAATGAGTAATAGAGACAGGAAGAGTATTCATTGATAATGAGTCATTGTAATTTAGGTGTCATTCAGATAAGATAAGATCGATGTGTCAAATCGGTGATTAAGAGTTTATCATGTTGACGTGTATTTTGAGGACTGAATCTTAGAGACGGCTATCCAAAAACGGAAGTACTTGAAAAAATCTTGTTTTGTTTTATATTCAACTCCAGTGTTATTTTCTTAGATATTGATTCCTTTCTAAATTCCTCTGGATCAAATCAGTAGCGAAGTGGTAAAATGGTTTAAGTCGACTCATCTCCCAGCTGAGTTTTCGAGGAATATTTCCGAATCTAAGGGAGATAGCGAAATTTTCGTCAGTACATTTGTTGCAGGACTCACTCGGCTCTACAAAAAAGGTTATAACAAAAATTTTGCTATCTCCCTTAGATTCCGAGATATTCGTTGAAAACTGGTCAATAGTCCAAATTGACTATTGTAAATAAATCCGACAAGAGCCCGTGTATAAGAAGAAATTTATTCAAATAATTTTGTTAAAGTTACTCCAACTCAAAAATCTGAATTTGCTGAAACATGAAAAAATCAGATTTTTTCCAACTGGATAAACATTTATAAACATCTTTATCCAAAAACGCAAGCACTGAAAAATGATTTTTTTCAACTGATAAGCAGTGCTATCTCCTTTATGTCAATAGAAATTTTAATTCACCAACCAGAACTGATTATTCAGAAATAAATGTATAACAAGAAATTTGTTTAAATAATGTGGCCGAAAAAAGCCTTAGAAATGTTCGTTCCATATATTCCCCCATCAGCGAAAAAACTGAATTTCCCTCCAACATGAAAAAATTATGTTTTCGGGAAATGGATAAACATTTATAAAATCGCAAGCACTAAAAAAATCAATCGAAGAAGAATCTGCATGAACGAAAAAATGTGTTCAATTCTTTTCGTCAAATTTACTGCAACAACATTTTTTTAATCATCAGAAATGAATGAACATCCTCAAAAGACCGAGGAAATTTCCTATCGAAAACGTCACTTGATAGCTCCCCGCACAGTGACTCATTATCGAGATAATTCCATAATTACTCACAATCAGACATGACATATCGATCCAAGCAGCCTACCACTTCCCCAACAAACAGTGCCGTGAACGAAGGGCTAGTAATTTTGGAAATCACGTGGGAATTATAGAAATCACCTTAGGAAATTCGCTAGAAAATTCTATTGGAATTCTCCATAAATTCCATCGAGATTCTACTAAAATTCTAGACAATTCTCGTTAATATTCTATTTGTTTTTTGCGCAGATTCTATTAGATATTTGATACGAAAAAGTCAATATTTCGATTTTTCTGTTTGAATTCTTCTCTTGAGATTTTTTCGATTAAAATTATTGGACCCGAATTTTCCAAGTTTTTTCCGCAATTTTTTATTTTGTTTTGCATTGCAGGATCCGAGTAAAAAACTTGAAAAATTCGTGCTTAAGTATTTTCTCATCTAATAGAAAAAATTCCAAGAGAATATTAATATAGAGAAATCGAAATCTATCGACTTTTTCCTGTCAAATATTTCACAGAATCAGCGTAAACACAAATAGAATTTTCTATGGAATTCGTTCTCTTTACTGAATTTTTTATTCAAGTTTTTTATTGAATTTTTCCACGCGTCAATCATGGAAATCGTGATTGCAACATTTGGCAATCAATGAAGGTTAAAGATTAATTTTATCCTGTGGACTGTGGATTAACGTCTTCTTCTAACTCAACAAAAAATCACGGGAAATCAATGAAAATCATTGGAAATCCCGAATAAAAATGTTGGAAATCGTGGAAATCATTTTGGAAGTCGATACCATTTGGAAATCATTGTGACAAGCTTTACTCTATCGATCTATCTAAATCTATCGACTCTTTCCTATCAAATATTTCACAGAATCAGCGTAAACACAAATAGAATTTTCTATGGAATTCGTTCTCTTTACTGAATTTTTTATTCAAGTTTTTTATTGAATTTCTCCACGCGTCAATCATGGAAATTGTGATTGCAAGATTTGGCAATCAATGCAGATTAAAGATTAATTGTATCCTGTGGACTGTGGATTAACGTCTTCTTCTAACTCAACAGAAAAATCATGGGAAATCAATGAAAATCATTGGAAATCCCGAATAAAAATGTTGGAAATCGTGGAAATCATTTTGGAAGTCGATACCATTTGGAAATCATTGTGACAAGCTTTACTCTATCGATCTATCTAAGTCTATCGACTCTTTCCTATCAAATATTTCACAGAATCAGCGTAAATACAAATAGAATTTTCTATGGAATTCGTTCTTTTTACTGAATTTTTTATTCAAGTTTTTTATTGAATTTTTTCACGCGTCAATCATGGAAATTGTGATTGCAACATTTGGCAATCAATGCAGATTAAAGATTAATTGTATCCTGTGGACTGTGGATTAACGTCTTCTTCTAACTCAACAAAAAATCACGGGAAATCAATGAAAATCATTGGAAATCCCGAATAAAAATGTTGGAAATCGTGGAAATCATTTTGGAAGTCGATACCATTTGGAAATCATTGTGACAAGCTTTACTCTATCGATCTATCTAAATCTATCGACTCTTTCCTATCAAATATTTCACAGAATCAGCGTAAACACAAATAGAATTTTCTATGGAATTCGTTCTCTTTACTGAATTTTTTATTCAAGTTTTTTATTGAATTTTTCCACGCGTCAATCATGGAAATTGTGATTGCAACATTTGGCAATCAATGCAGATTAAAGATTAATTGTATCCTGTGGACTGTGGATTAACGTCTTCTTCTAACTCAACAAAAAATCACGGGAAATCAATGAAAATCATTGGAAATCCCGAATAAAAATGTTGGAAATCGTGGAAATCATTTTGGAAGTCGATACCATTTGGAAATCATAGTGACAAGCTTTACCTGCAAATGTTGAAAGACTTCGGGCATCGCAGTGTGATAATGAAGCCTCTGCAGTTCATTAGTTTTCTGTAATTGATTCGCGTACTCCGTTTTCGCCTCCTCACTCTGCTGTGTTTTCAGCGTCTTGTTCATCCGCTGCTTCTCCACCTAAACACAATAATTTCCTCATTACCATAATTCTCAAAGTCATTGAGACACTCCCCTCAATTAAAACTTGTCAGCACAAATTTTTTTGCTGGAAAAAAAAATGCATTGTCACTGATAATAGAATAAACCACGTACTTCTGCTCTCGACAAGTGCAGATCAGCGTCTGCTCTTTGAAAATTCTCAATTGCCCTCTCCGCCTCGCGAAATGCTTTCTCATACGCTTTTCTAGCTCGCTCCAAGTTACCAATTTGCGTTGCCAATGATGTCATTAATCTTGCGCCCTCTTGGAGATGTTTTTTCCTGTCCTCTTTGAAATCTTTTACTAGTAAATTCAGCTCACGGAGAACATTCGCCTGGAGATTCTCAGCAATAACTTCCCTCTGTCCCGCCTGATCATTTACCTCATTCAGTTCTAATTTGAATGCTTTGCACGGACTGTATCTGAAAGAATGGAGAATGAAAAATTATAGATTTATGATTTCGTGGGGACGTCATTCCTCTGGAATTCAACGGCACTCGGAGCCGCCTACGCACTTCAAATGGGATCTATCGAAAGTTTGCTTTTTATATTATCTGAGGTATCTCAATAGCGGTTCTATAATAAATATGAGAGGTGCGAATTGGATTGCTTCGGGATTATTTTTCTGACGCATAGATTTATATGGAAATTCAATGGCTGTTGGGTTGCAGGGAATTGAGGATTACTTTTAAATTAATCTGTGCGTAATTTTATTTTACGTATTTCAATTTCAAATACTGAGAGAAAAAAAATAAATATTGTTCTGATTTCAATAATGAAATGTTTAATTCAAGGGACGGATCGTTCATGGGAATATTATCATTATTCTGTGGAAAAATAATTCTTTAATTACTGGTTTTTTAATTAATTTTTTTGAGGAATAGATTTATATGGAAATTCAATGGCTGTTGGGTTTCAGGGAATTGAGGATTACTTTTAAATTAATCTGTTCGTAATTTTATTTTACGTATTTCAATGTCAAATACTGAGAGAAAAAAAAAAAGAAATATTATTCTGATTTCAATAATGAAATGTTTAATTCAAGGGACGGATCATTCATGGGAATATTATAATTATTCTGTGGAAAAATAATTCTTTAATTACTGGTTTTTTAATTAATTTTTTTGAGGAATAGATTTATATGGAAATTCAATAGCTGTTGGGTTGCAGGGAATTGAGGATTACTTTTAAATTAATCTGTGCGTAATTTTATTTTACGTATTTCAATGTCAAATACTGAGAGAAAAAAAAAATATTGGTCTGATTTCAATAATGAAATGTTTAATTCAAGGGACGGATCGTTCATGAGAATATTATCATTATTCTGTGGAAAAATAATTCGTTAATTACTGGTTTTTTAATTAATTTTTTTGAGGAATAGATTTATATGGAAATTCAATAGCTGTTGGGTTGCAGGGAATTAAGGATTACTTTTAAATTAATCTGTGCGTAATTTTATTTTACGTATTTCAATGTCAAATACTGAGAGAAAAAAAATAAATATTGCTCTGATTTCAATAATGAAATGTTTAATTCAAGGGACGGATCGTTCATGGGAATATTATCATTATTCTGTGGAAAAATAATTCTTTAATTACTGGTTTTTTAATTAATTTTTCTGACGCATAGATTTATATGGAAATTCAATGGCTGTTGGGTTGCAGGAAATTGAGGATTACTTTTAAATTAATCTGTGCGTAATTTTATTTTACGTATTTCAATGTCAAATACTGAGAGAAAAAAAAAATATTGTTCTGATTTCAATAATGAAATGTTTAATTCAAGGGGCGGATCGTTCATGGGAATATTATCATTATTCTGTGGAAAAATAATTCTTTAATTACTGGTTTTTTAATTAATTTTTCTGACGCATAGATTTATATGGAAATTCAATGGCTGTTGGGTTTCAGGAAATTGAGGATTACTCACAAATCATTTATCGTAATATGAACATTTAACAGCTGATAAAAAGATCAATAATGAATAAAGAATTCTAATTAATTGATCCACTACGTTATCATTGACATTTACCCATTAATTCTGACAATCTAATAATCCAGTAAAGAAAGTCTCTCGATGTTTTCGGATGACCTTGAACGTTTCAGAGACACGCAAAGCGGTATGTGAGAATTTCTTGGAATGATTTTCTTCTATCGCTTAACCAGAGAAATCTTAATTAGTGCGGTCAACTACCGATGTATTTCTGGTTTCAGCAGACAATATCACCACAGCAGATACAAATAGAGGCTTTCGATAAGGGCATTTATCACTTGAATGAATAAATTAAACATGACTGAATGAATGAAAAACCGCTCGGCATGACCTTTCTCCGCTTACGGTATCAAAACGGTTGGAGCCGGAAAATGAATGGAACCTAAATAGTGGACCATCAATATTCCTATAAAAATTCTCAGGACGTACCGAATATTCATAGTTGAGGCGTTACGAGATGTTTCGGAAGTTTCAAAATTTTCATTCTTGAAATTTCTCATTTTAGTTCATTTATTATTCAATAAAAAAGAAAACAAGTGGACAATTGCATTGTTTTTATAAACGAGTATAATTGTTGTTGCTAATAAATTAGCAATTTGCTTTCGAATGGATTCTCTTTTTAAAATTCTTATTACAATATTCTCTTCTTCTATTTTTTCATGTCACAGTACTATCAATTGAAATTTCATCAGAATTTTGCAATTTTGAAATTATTATTTCGTTCTGTCAAGTAATTCTACATTCAGAACCTCTCAAGACTCGAATTCGTTTTCAGTCCGGGTTCAATCAAGGTTCGATCGAGGTTTAATCAGTGTATACCCGGGATTTAATCAGGGTTTATTCAGGATTTAGCCAGAGTTTAACCCACGTTCTGTCAGAAGTTAGTCGAGACCATGAATCAATATGAATAAATATTCAACATAATAGACTGGTACCTGAGTTTAATAGAGATAGAAATTTTTATATAAAAACCTCATGACGGTATTGTGTAACTTGATAAGCAATGATGCTGTTCTCACCGTTTTTCAACTTGATTAAGAAGCCGTTGAAATGTACTTTTCAAGCCCTGATTTAATTGCTATTACTGATGATTCTTTCAGTAATCATGAAAAAACCGATTTTCTCTTCCAAATCGCATAAACAATGTGCTGTAACTCAACAACGAATTGTGCGACCTCTATCATATTCTGATAGAATCAAGAGGATATTGTTATCAATTTTTTGAGCCATGACTCAGAAAATCCAGTTCGATGACAATTTTTTGAGCGAGAAATCGTTGAGAAATCGATTTTTGGAAAAATATCAACTTTTTCGGATTTTAAAAATTGAAAAATTGAAATTTAATCGGTGTCAATGAATAGAGCTTATTAAAGTCTATATTTAGTTACCCTAACGCAAAAAATTGGCGCCTTAAACTTGAGCAAACGGAAGCAAAAAACAGAAAATATCAAATAATTTCACATTTTAATTAATTAATAAACTGTTCTAGATTTTCATTATCATTATTATTTGATGATGAATTTATTTCTCTACAGAAAATTGAGTACAAAAATGAGAAAAATGTCCTAATGGGATTGAATATTTATATTAATCAGTGAAAAATGACTTTTTCCAAAAATTTTTGAGAAATATTACCGTTTGTCAGAGGTCAATGACTCTTTAAGTGATCCACTAAGATCTTCAACAGATTTCCTAAACGGCTGTTCTGAGATGATTCGTGATCATTAGATTCTTATCTCTAATGCAACAGTCCTATTTTCAATAACAAGAGGCGAGAAAAAATGAGAGAAAAAAAACCGGTGCTAAATGATTCGAACTCTGCAGCGACTTTCCCAATAGCTTTCACTTAGTTATCAAATATTGACGTTATTTTTAACTTACAGGTAGTCCTCCTCCTCCTTTTTCTTCGGTTGATAATTTTTCACTAGCCTTCTGTAACATTAAAAAATGAAACAAAATTATTTTTTGAAGAAAGTGGGAAAGGGCTTATTTAGGGTTTAATCACAAAAAAAAACATTACTGGAAAATTCAAAATATTTTTCTTGAATATGGATTGACTTTTTTATGCCTGAGTAAAATAAATCGGTTGCACAAAACGTTTCGCAAATTCTTTTAGAGAAAGAACTATTTTTTTTAAACACTTCCTTCAAGCGAATACAGAGTTGAAGACATTAAAAATTATATTCTTCCTCCGGGCGGTTTTTGGCATTCCATCTACTCAATCCAAGAAGAAAAATCCAATCCAAAAAAAGTCAAAATAGAATTTTACAGAAAAACCTTTCGAATTCACTAGAAAATTCCATTCGATTGCTATTAAATTTTTTATTAGTTTTTGGCCGATTCAATGGGAATAATTATGCAGGAAACATCAATAGAGTCAGATTTTTCTATGCAGCTTATTTTATTGAGATATTTTTGATAGAAATTACTCGATTAATTTTTTAAAATCTTGTGTTGTATTTTTTTATGAAATGAGAGGGAAAATAGAGTGGAAAAAACTTGGAGAATTCATGTCGAGAAATTCCTATATGAAATGTTTTAATAGAAATGATTGAATAAAAAAATTCTTTTTTTTTAAATGACATAGTTTCTATTCGACGTTTTATATTTAAAAACGCCCAGTGAACCTGCGGAGTTTTGCAACAGAATTGGTCCGAAAATAATAGAATTTTCGATAGAAGTTCATAGAAATCCAAAAAAAAATTAGCAAAATTACTCCTCCTTTCCCAGGCCATAGAATTCTCTATCAAATTCCCTAGGTTCTTCTATGAAATATTTTCATGCGTGATACATAATGTAGACTATAAAATCCATAGCCATTAATTTTTCAAATGTTTAACGAAAACGTTAAATGAAAAGATGAAATTTTACTTATTTTTTCTATGAAATATTTTCGTGCGTCGTATATCATATAGACTATAAACCATAGCCATTTATTTTTTGAATATCCGATAAATAAATGTTGGAAAGAACCAATTTCTTTTTCTCCGAATTCTCCAAGTTTTTTGTTCGATTTTTTTAGAAAAGAGAAGACAAGTAGAGTAAAAAAAACATTAAATTCCCTACGTTTTTCTATGAAATATTTTCGTGATTGACATATAATAGAGATTAGAAAATCCATAGCCATTAATTTTTTGAATATTTAATGCAAACGATTCGACAAATATTAGAACTAGCCAATTTATTTTTCTCCAAATTCTCCAAGTTTTTTATTCCATGTTTTTTTTTTTAGAAAAGAGAGGACAAATAGAGTGAAAAAACAATAAATTCCCTACGTTTTTCTATGAGATATTTTCGTGCCTGGCATATAATAGAGATTAGAAAATCCATAGCCATTACTTTTTTTAATATTTAATGGAAACGATTTGACAAATATTAGAAACAGCCGATTTATTTGTCTCCGAATTCTCCAAGTTTTTTGTTCGATTTTTTTAGAAAAGAGAGGACAAATAGAGTGAAAAAACATCAAATTCCCTACGTTTGTCTGTAAAATATTTTCATGCCTGGCATATAATGAAGATAAGAAAATCCATAGCCATTAATTTTTTGAATACTTAATGGCAACGCTTCGATAAATGTTGGAAATAACTAATTTGTTTTTCTCCATTTTTCCACCCGGTTGTTTTCAAACTCTAAAAAATCTTACCTCAAATTCCCAGCATACTCCACTTCAATTTTACACCGATCCCGTATGAAATGTCCATACCTCTCCAGAAAATCTATCCCCTTCTGCGTATGCAGGGATAGATTATCATACTGATCCTGAAAAAAACGAAGAAAAAAAAATCCATCAACATTCACAACTGGTAAAATTTCCGCAGAAAGAACAGGGTTTCGGGAATAGTCGAACGCATTAAATATCAGTCTCCTGTTTTCTCCCGCATACTTCTGTTATCATAACGGGAAGTAGGTGATTGCGACGCTTATCGAACAGATACAAACGATACGCCAGTCATTTTTTTTTCATATATTCTCAAATCACCAATGTATCATTTTCCCCATTTCCAAAGGAATAAATAAAATGAATGATGTTGAAATAAAAGAGGAATTGCAGGGTCAAATGTTGTTTGCTGAAAAACCGGTTCACGCCGAATACGGAGTCACTACAAATGTGGCATCAGTGACCGAGAGGAAGGGGAGAAATAAGTGTCTTTACCATAAAAGTTCAACGGCTGATAGAGAATAAAATGCTGCTGGACTCGGCTATTCAGACGCAATGCAGTCAATGACAAATCCCATTGACCTTGTCACATGTATTCTCAATTAAGCATTTGAAAGGGGGGCAAAAAATTCCCAGGCACTCGATCTCCCTAATGTAACCCCAGCCGTTCAACATTTCAATTAAAAATAGATTAAATATAATCGCGAGCGCGCGAGAGAAAGACTGATTCATTTTACAAAACACGATCTCCGATAATTGTAATCTTTATTAATGATATAAAGTATTAATAGAAAATGACATAGAAAGGCTCATTCTCATCTTGACACGTAAATTCCTTGAGATTTCTTTTCTCTCTGTACTGGGAATTAATCCGTCAGTGAGGAAAAAACTAATGAATGGAGAATGAATTTTTCCCATATTTCAAACGAAAGTGGAGGCTCGTCATTTCGTTGCACATGTGTACGTGCGTTTTTAGTGAACTCTCAAGTGCACAGTATGAGTCACGTAATCGAGTCGTCGAGGGCGCCTCACCCTCATTTCCTATCGATCCCCCACAATATCTTTCTTTGTACTGGTGGTATGAGTAATGTCACATGTTTCATTTCAAATAAATTTTAATGACTTTGATCCTGGCTATTTGATCGATCCAATGTTTTTGGTTTCGAATGGAAGCATTATGTTCGTCAAATGGAAAATTTATGATTTTTTTATGGCAGGATAACTTATTTTGGCCTCAGGATTTAGAAAAGCTGTTTCTAGACCATGTCCGGATGTGTGTGTTTGTGTGACCGATTATTTTTCGACTATAAGCGAAGAAATCATTGTTGAAATGAATACTATTGGGATTTAAAATATTATTTTCAGTGCTATTTTCGATCGTGAGACTGATTGCATCATCTGTTGTTGAAATCAATTTATTTTTAATGCAATATTCAGAGAAAGGTCAAAAATTTTGAACGTCGGGGCAATGTTGGCGCAATGTTGGCTGCCAACGTTCGAACAAGGTTTAATTCAATGATACCAATATTCAGGGAAATTTAAAAAAATGTCAACGTCGGGGCAATCTCGGCTGCCAATGTCGGGGCAATGTTGGCCACTGACGTTGGCACAATGTTGGCTGCAAACGTTAGAGCAACGTTGAATTCAATGAAACAAATATTTAAGGGAGGGTCAAAATTTTTAACCCCGGCGCCAATTTTAACTGCCAATGTCGGGGTAATGTTGGCAGCCAACGTTGGCGTAATGTTGGCTTCCAATGTCGGGCGTCATTGAATTGAGTAAAACAACTATTCAGAGAAAGGTCAAACATGCTAACGTCGGACCAATGTTGGGGCAATGTTGGCCGCCAGTGTTGGCACAATGTTGGCCACCAATGTCGGCCGACATTGAATTCAACGAAACAAATATTCAGGGAAAGGTAAACAATTTTGCCATCGGGGCAATGTTGGCTACCAACGTCGGCACAATCTTGACTGCCAATGTTGGGGCAATGAGTCATTGAATTAAATTGAAATTACATCCCCATAGAAATTCCACCCGCAAACAAATTACTAATTTATGTAGCAAAAATATATTGACCATGTTGTGACGAAAGCAATTCCCCACGTGTTTCTCTTAGGTTCAATTTTCTCCCTCGTCATCAGCGTTCAAAGAGTTTCATTTTTCCTCTAATTTATTTCTCCCGAGGCAGCATTTCATTCGTGAGTATGACATAAAAAAATAAAGCGGCATTATACCTTCGTACAATGTTATGTCTGTTGTAATTGTGCAATCTGAGAATTATGTCGAGTCATTTTGTGAGTGGTACTACGAAATCTGGTGAAAATGTAGGCGAGAATGGGTAGCGTGGGTGCGAAACACCTCTGATTTCGGTTCTATTCCTGAAATAATTCACGAAATTGTGGGGAAAAATACGAATTTCAATGGCTGAATCGAGTGATTCCGATGTTAACTGTCAATTGTATGGTCATGATAGTGTGGTGTAACACCTGCGTAATCACTCATGTATGAAATTTACTACGGTAAAATGGCTTTTTCGACTTGTCTGGCGTGTCTCATCAGCGAGACGTCACAAATCAACGTGTACTATTCGAGTACAGGAGAATACATTCACGTGGCGTTTGAGAAAAAAAAACGTTCTAGACAGTTCAACTGGGGAAAACGAAAAAGAAATAAACAAGTGGAAATTCTCGGGTATACATCCGTTCCGGAGGGAAACAAATTTCGAAATGAAAACAAGGAACTATTGTGATTTTATAATTATATTCAACTGAATAAATAAAAGGACTGCTGGTGAGAAGATTTTGTGGGAGTGGTTTGTAGATTAATTTTGAAATTACGTTTCCGGCTGATAATTTTGGGATTTGGAACAGTTTTTCTCGTAATTTATTTTATTAATTGAGAATTTTTCAGACACAATTTCTTTTATGAATTTTCAGTTATTTATTCTGCTATTTTAATTTCCTTGTCACCTAATTGTTTTTCAGCTATTTCTAAAAAATCTTAATTTTTTTGTGTTCGAAAGAAATTCTGTAATTTTTAAGATATAAAATTTATAAATTTTATGTTTCTGATAGTTTTAGTGGCTTGAACGAAATGAAATAAACAAATCTGTTAGAGGATTTCGAAATGAAAATAAGGAACTATTGTGATTTTATAATTATATTCAACTGAATAAATAAAAGGACTGCTGGTGAGAAGATTTTGTGGGAGTGGTTTGTAGATTAATTTTGAAATTACGTTTCCGGCTGATAATTTTGGGATTTGGAACAGTTTTTCTCGTAATTTATTTTATTAATTGAGAATTTTTCAGACACAATTTCTTTTATGAATTTTCAGTTATTTATTCTGCTATTTTAATTTCCTTGTCACCTAATTGTTTTTCAGCTATTTCTAAAAAATCTTAATTTTTTTGTGTTCGAAAGAAATTCTGTAATTTTTAAGATATAAAATTTATAAATTTTATGTTTCTGATAGTTTTAGTGGCTTGAACGAAATGAAATAAACAAATCTGTTAGAGGATTTCGAAATGAAAATAAGGAACTATTGTGATTTTATAATTATATTCAACTGAATAAATAAAAGGACTGCTGGTGAGAAGATTTTGTGGGAGTGGTTTGTAGATTAATTTTGAAATTACGTTTCCGGCTGATAATTTTGGGATTTGGAACAGTTTTTCTCGTAATTTATTTTATTAATTGAGAATTTTTCAGACACAATTTCTTTTATGAATTTTCAGTTATTTATTCTGCTATTTTAATTTCCTTGTCATCTAATTGTTTTTTAGCTATTTCTAAAAAATCTTAATTTTTTTGTGTTCGAACGAAATTCTGTAATTTTCAGAGTAATGTGAAAATGTCTTGAGTCAATGTTTCTGATAGTTTTATTGGCTTGAACGAAATGAAATAAATAAATCCCTTAGAGAATTTCGAAATTAAAACAAAGAACTATTGTGACTTTATAATTATATTCAACCGAATAAATAAAAAGAACTGTGACAAAATTTGGAAATGTTTTGCAAATTAATTTTGGAATTACGTTTCCGGTCGATAACTTCGGAAAAAATTTTCTGTTTCATTTTATTAATCGAGAAGTTTTCAGAAACAATTTTTTAAAGGATTTTCACTAGTTTATTCTGCTGTTTTGATTTGCTTTTGATCGACTTGTTTTTATCCATTTTTAAAAAATCTCATTTTTTTCTGTTCGAAAGAAATTCTGTAATTTTTAGATCAATGGAGAAACATATGGAATCAATATTTCTGCCAGTTTTATTAGCTTCAATGGAATTAAATGAATAAATCTCTCAGAGGATTTCGAAATGAAAACAAGGAACTATTGTGAGTTTATAATTATATTCAACTGTGACTAAATGAGAAGACTATTGCTGAGAACTTTTTGTGAAAATGTTTTGTAGATAAACTTTGGATTACGTTTCCGGTTGATAATTTAGGAAAAGTTTTTCTGATGTTTTATCTTATGAATTGGGAATTTTTCGGAAACAATTTCTTTTAAAAATTTTGATTCGCTTATTCATCTGCGTTGATTTAGCTTTTTGTCAACTCGTTTTTTAGTCATTTCTCAAAACGCGGATTTTCTTCATGTTCGGAAGAAATTCTGTAATTAATTAGAGCAATTTAAACTTCTGGTTCAAACTACTGGTCAGTTTTCAGTGAATATCTCGAAATCTATGGCAGATACCAAAATTTTTATTTCGACCTTTTTTGTAGAGCGAACTGAGAGCTACGAAAAAGGTAATTACAAAAATTTAGCTATCTCCCGTAGATTCGGAGATATTCCTAAAAAACTCAACTGAGAACTAAATCGAATTGAACAGTTTTATCGCTTCGCTACTGAAATGAAATAAACAAATTTCTTAGAGGCTTCATTTCCGAATTGGTAATGCATCTAACGGAAGACCCCGAAAAGAAAAATAACTGTAGATGGCGACATGAAAAAATGCAGGAGAGAGCGGGGCAATATGGATTTGCATATTAATAATTCATTGAAGAAATATAGAACTCTATAATAATTTCAATTGAAAATTCGATTTGTTTCTTGTGCCGTTGTGCTACAAACTATGTAATTTCATCGTGCGGTTCGCAATAAATATTCTCTTGATCGAAAAATAAAAAAATAAAAATGTTGATTTTTCTGCGTAACACATTCTCTTGAGATTTCTTCTAAAGAATTATTAGATATAATATTTTTAATGTTCTGTTTATCAGATTTTCCCATGAGATACAAAAGAGAATACAAAGGAAAAATGCTAAAAATTCATGACCAAGTATTTCCGTAAAAAAATAAAAACCTGTTGACTCTTCTGTTAAATATCTCTTGGAAAAATGACCGCGTAAATTTTTATAATCTCCAATATAACCAGCGCAAAAAACTAATAAAATAAAATTACTTGACAGACTCTTGACGGACTTCAATAAAAATTCAATAGAATTAAAAAAAAAACACTAGATCTATTCAATTTTATCACGTGCCATATTGTTTATTTAATAAAAAATAATATTGTCTATTTTATTCCTCAATCATCCACTCGTGTTCATGCATTGAAATTTCTATCAACATAAAAAAAATCAGTAGTCAAGAGGTAAAATGGTTCAAGTCGATTTTGACTAGTGGGCGGTTTTCAATGAATATCTTGAAATCCAAGAGAGATAGCAGGATTTTTGTTATGACCTTTTTTGTAGCCCTCAATTCACTCCACAAAAAACCTAATAACGAAAATTTTGTTATATCCCTTAGACTCCGAGATATTCCCCCAAAACTAAAAAATGTCTACAATTTCAAATAAAAAATTGGGATTTCATTTCGCGTAAGCCTCAAATCAACTCCCAAAATAATCCCTGGTCCTTCCCCCCGTCCTTAACCCTTCTTATCACTCCAAAATTGACAGAAAAATAATAGACAATAAACAATACAGAGGAAAAAATGAAAAAAATTCATGCCCATAAATTTCCATCAAAAATCAAAATCTATTGACTCTTCTATTAAATATCTCTTGCAAAAATGACAGCGTAAATTTGTATAATCTCCAATATAACCGATTATTTAATAGAATCCTCACAGCACTTGAATAAAAATTCAACAAAATTTTTTAAAAACGTTAGATCTAGTCAATTTTATCACGTGCCATATTCTCTATTTTGACTATTGACCAATTTTCAATGAATATCTCAAAATCTACGCGAGATAGCAACATTTCTGTCATGACCTTTTTTGTAGCCCTCAATTCGCTCCACAAAAAAGGTAACCACACAAATTTCGCTATCTCCTTTAGACTCCGAGATATTCCCCCAAAACTAAAAAATGTCTACAATTTCAAATAAAAAATTGGGATTTCATTTCGCGTAAGCCTCAAATCAACTCCCAAAATAATCCCTGGTCCTTCCCCCCGTCCTTAACCCTTCTTATCACTCCAAAATTGACAGCAAAATAATAGACAATAAACAATACAGAGGAAAAAACGAAAAATATCATGCTCAAAAATTTATATAAAAAATCAAAATCTCTTGACTCTTCAATCAAATATCTCTTGCAAAAATGACAGCGTAAATTTGTATAATCTCCAATATAACCGATTATTTAATAGAGTCCTCACAGCACTTCAATAAAAATTCAACAAAATTTTTTAAAAACGCTAGATCTAGTCAATTTTATCACGTGCCATATTCTCTATTTTGACTATTGACCAGTTTTCAATGAATATCTCAAAATCTACGCGAGATAGCAACATTTCTGTCATGACCTTTTTTGTAGCCCTCAATTCGCCCCACAAAAAACCTAATAACGAAAATTTCGCTATCTCCCTTAGACTCCGAGCTATTCCCCCAAAACTAAAAAATGTCTGCAATTTCAAATAAAAAATTGTGATTTCATTTCGCGTAAGCCTCAAATTAACTCCCAAAATAGTCCCTGGACCCCGTCCTTACCCTTCCCATCATTCCAAAGTCGACACCAAAATACTAGACAATAAAATATGAGCCCCGTTTTCAACAAAAGTGTCCCACAACGCCGTAAACCGGGGTGATGCACAAAAGGTAAAAGAACTTGCGGGTTTAAAAATAGAGTGCACCTTAATAAACGGACAGTTGAATCGAATAATTTCAATGTAGTTCAATTCAGAGGCATAAAGGAGGTAGTTGCCCAGTCTGAAGACCCCAGTAGTAATGATCATGACAATAATTAGTGGTAAATGGGGATTATTATTGAAATTGGAGGGGGAGATGACGGGCACAGAGGTGAGTGCCTGGGGGAAAAGGTGAGGCGAGATGGTGGATTTGCGAGGTCTCGCCTGGGGCTCATTCGGAACGGGTTTTTCAGCCGCTAAATCGGCGAAATGCCCGAAATCGCGAGAGACAACATTTTTTTTTCATCAGAAAAAATCGGCGGTGAAGGTTTGCGCGAAGGGCGCTCGGGTGAGTCACTGGGGCTTGTGGCGATGGGGGGAGGCATGATAAAGGGATTACAGGTATGTCGAAATGTCGAGGACAAGTGGAGGCAACGTACCCAAAGTTCACTACCCCAACTCATTATTGCGCGAGGATTAAAACAAAATCCCGTATTCACTCGGCGAAATAGCGCTCGAAATCCAAATACACTGGTCACTTCACATATGTTCGATCTATTAACTCACTCGTCACAATACAAACTCCGGCACTTCACCCGTATTAATTGGGAACTGGCGATATTCATGAGAGAAATAATAAAAAATAAGGTGGAATTTTTTTTCACTTGCCCCCCTTCACGCGTCAGAACACCGCGCACATTGACGGAAATACACCTACAACATGTCCGCCTTGTGACCGTGTAGAGACCGTGTAACCACTGACTGGCCCCTCTCGTACCCACACCCAAAGTCTGGCCCGACGGGAGAAACACAACCGAAGGCCAGTGCTTCTGAATTCGCGAAACGCCCGGAATTCTCGCGGGGCGACATCTTACTGAGGTATTCTGAAGGCTTTGAGTCAGGGAAGGGAGAATTTTTTTTTTATTTGTTTTAGGGCGGGGGTGGGGAAAATGGACACTTTTTCTTTTTTTTATTTTCACTAGATATGTGCGCGCGCTGATCTATTCATTTGTTGAAATAAAGAAGTGGAATTCATTGAATTTCAGTTTCGCATGAATAACTTATAAATATTGATAATGAATCAAAGAGAATTCGACTGATGATTGAAGTGAATGGCGAAGTAGAGTAAAAGAATCTATAAAGAATTTTTCATTTTCAATTAAGTATCTTCAATTTTTTAAAATAATCGGTCTCCATAAAAGGACAGAATTTATTAATTTCACCGATGATATATATACATGTGAAATATATATATTATATATATATATATGACGTGAAAAAAAATTTACCACTGAAGAATTTGAAATTATGTCACTCAAGAATTTGAAAATGCCGCGTGTTTTGTTTTATGAATAACTTCGTGTCACATATTGACCAATCAGAATTAAGGATTAGCGGTCAGGCAGTTTCGAGATATTTCGATATAAAACAACTTCACGTTTCTTTCATCTTTAGTAAATAGAATGTTTTAGGGCGGGGGTGCGGAAAATGGACACTTTTTCTTTTTTTATTTTTACTAGATCTGTGCGCGCGCTGATCTATTCATTTGTTGAAATGAAGAAGTGGAATTCATTGAATCTCAGTTTCTCATGAATACCTTATAAATATTGATAATGAATCAAAGAGAATTCGACTAATGATTGAAGTGAATAGCGAAGTAGAGTAAAAGAATCTATAAAGAATTTTTCATTTTCAATTAATTATCTTCAATTTTTTTAAATAATCGGTCTCCACAAAAGAACAGAATTTATTAATTTCACCGATGATATATATACATGTGAAATATATATTATATATATATATATATGACGTGAAAAAAAATTTACCACTGAAGAATTTGAGATTGTCACTCAAGAATTTGAAAATGCCGCGGTTTGTTTTGTGAATAACTTCGTGTCACATATTGACCAATTAGAATTAAGGATTAGCGCCCAAGCAGTTTCGAGATATTTCGATATAAAACAACTTCACGTTTCTTTCACGTTTAGTAAAATAGGATGTTTTAGGGTGGGGGTGTGGAAAATGGACACTTTTTATTTTTTCATTTCTACTAGATCTGTGCGCGCGCTTTCGCGCGCGCTTATCTTTTTGTTGTGAAAATGAAGAAATCGAATTTATTAAACTTCATATACTCATAGATGTTTTATAAATATTGATAATGACTTGGAGAGAATTAAGGGAATGAAGAGTGAAACATCAATGAATAATTTTTCATCTTCGATTAATTCTTTTTTTACTTTTTAAAATAATCTGATTAAAATCTGTAATTGTTGAAAAATGAGGGGAGGGTTATGAATTGATTTCCTAGAAAGTTGAACAAATTTCTGGAATTCTTCGGAAAATTTTACAGTTTTCCAGATAACCGTAGATCTTCAAAGATTTTTCTCGAATTACTTGGGAAAGCGAAGAATTTTCATGAATTTTGTAGAGTTTAGAATTTATGTATGAAAATCTAAGAAGCAAGAGCTGATCATTTTTGCGTATGATAAATATGAAAAAATAAAAATTTGGGAAGTGAAGAATAATTCGTGAATTAAAAAAATTAGAAATGCTGTTCTCATGATCAACAATTAGGCAATTTAGATATGTTTTGACACAAAGATAAACTTCACACATGAAAAAATGAAAAATAAGACGCGGAAAAAATGTTTGGCATTTGAAGAATTTGAAAAAATATCGGGGATTTTTTCAGCGACTACTTCACGTGACTCATTGACCAATCAGAATTGAGGATTAGCGCTCCGGCAGTTTCGAGATACTTCGATATAAAACAACTTCACGTTTCTTTCATCTTTAGCAAAATCGGATACGACGTCGACAAAGTAAATGTTCCACTTATTGACCGAGCGTAAATTCCCAAATCACTTTTCAAATCTCCGAACCAATCTGTCGACAAAACTATCCATAAAATGAGAATAAGTTGACCCTGATTATAAACCATTGAAGTTAATTTTCAATTTAATTTTTTTCTGCGTCACCAATCACCTTTTTCTGTCCTCCTCCGTCAATGTTGTGTCATCATCATATCGTATGTTCTAAAAACCAATAATGGCGTTGAATGACAGGAACAGTGTGGACTGTGTGGACGTATATAGTGTCAAACAGTCAAAGGTTCATTTGATTTTCTTTACGTGTCCCATTCATTGACGAAGTTGACTCTGTTTTGTCGACTACGCCAATCAGCTCCACCGATTATTTGTTTTTTCCCTTGTATATCCTTTCCTTCAGTAGCACATCCACTCACCTTCCCCCAGTCGTTACGCAATTCGTAAGTGGTTAGTGATACAACGTCTCTAGAAGGGGTTACGCGTGAATTGAAGAGCGAGAATGTGGTTCTGGCATTTTCACGATGGAGGTAATTGCACATTACAATTTTGCATTTGTCTCTTAGCCTAAGACAAAGGCGAAATGACCCTGACACCTCGCCTTTGTCCTACAAAGTGTTGCTCAATATTCGCTAAGTGTTACCAAATACTCTGATTTGTTTATAATCATTCACTAATTGCCCGGATGATCTTTAGAGTTTAACTGATTATTACGAGACAATTAAATTGGAGAATTAATTGGGCAGTGGAGTGGGCGAGAGGTTAAAATTCCACTCTGCAGTTACACACGTCATGAATTAGACACGCACCAAAAAAATTAATAGAAAAACCTAACGAATTCGTTAGACCATTCTGTCAGATTGAAATTTTCAGTAGAAAATATTTTATAGAAAAAGACAAAAAAATCGTTTTTCGATACAAATTATTTTACTGAGATATTTTTTATAGAATTTCCTCGGTGTAAATGTTCTGTTTTTTGTTTAATTTTTTTGATGAAAAGAAAAATGGAATGAAGAAACTTAAATAATTTAAGCCGAGGGAATTCTATAGAAAATATCTGAAGAGAATGAGTTATATGGAAAAATCGAATTCTCTTAACTGTTTCTATGAATTTTTTGTATTGAGAATTTCAATAGAATCGGCCAAAAACTAATAGAAAATTCAGTAGAAATCCGATGGAATTTTCTAATGAATTTGCTAGGCTTTTCTATTAAATTTTTCGTGCGTGTAGGGCTTGAGAAACCTTTCCCCAAGAATTCTTATTGAATTTCTGTTGGAACTTACGCAAATTTGCTGTTATTTTTTAATTAATATTCGATGGGAAAAAGTTACAGATTTGATTCAGGAATGAGCAATAATATTAGATTTTGACAACATTAAAAAGAGATTATCTCCTCATATTGTTCTAAGTTTAAATATATTTAACAAATTAAAAATATTACAAAATTTATTAACTAAGTTTTTCGATACAAATTGTTTTACTGAGATATTTCCTACAGAATTTCCTCGGATCCAATTTTCCAAGTTTTTTGTTTCATTTTTTTGACGAAAAAAAAAGAAAAATGGAATGAAGAAACTTAAATAATTTGAGCCGAGGGAATTCTATAGAAAATATCTGAAGGGAATGAGTTATATAGAATAATCGAATTCTCTTGACTGTTTCTATGAATTTTTTGTATTGAGAATTTCAATAGAATCGGCCAAAAACTAATAGAAAATTCAGTAGAAATCCGATGGAATTTTCTAATGAATTTGCTAGGCTTTTCTATTAAATTTTTCGTGCGTGTAGGGCTTGAGAAACCTTTCCCCAAGAATTCTTATTGAATTTCTGTTGGAACTTACGCAAATTTGCTGTTATTTTTTAATAAATATTCGATGGGAAAAAGTTTACAGATTTGTAATTCAGGAATGGGCAATAATATTAGATTTTGACAACATTAAAAAGAGATTATCTCCTCATATTGTTCTAAGTTTAACTATATTTAACAAATTTAAAAAATTATAAAATTTATCAACTAAATTTTCCGATTGATGGGAATAAAATATTTGATAATATTGAAATGTAATTTTTTAGTTAACAAGCAAATTCTAAATTTAGGTACTTGATTTTCGATTATCCAAATAATCGTCAATCTTCCTACCTAAATTATTGGCTGGTAGAATATTTCGAAATCTAAATGTACAAATTGATGTTTAATTTAATATTTAAAATTTTAAGATTTATGTCTAAAATTGACAACTTCACAATTTAACAGTAATTATAATTGATTGATATGCCTATCACTGATTTGATTCTTTATGTATAAATCATTCCCTTGAAACTCTAGGATTTTGTCATGAGAAATAAAACAAAATACAGCGGAAGGATTTCGGAAAGTTTAGATCCAAGAATTTGCACAGAAAACTCAAAATCTATTTTCCACCAAATATCTCTTGCCAAAAAGACACTGTGAACTTGCATAATCTCTCATAGAAATGGCGCAGAACCCGCGGAATTTTTTAACAGAATTCCAATAAAACCAAGAGAATTCTCATTCTGTTAGCTGAGTTTTCGAGGAATATCTCCGAAACTAAGAGAGATAGCGAAATTTGTAATGACCTTTTTTATAGCTCTCAATTCGCTCTATAAAAACCGTCATGACAAGAATTTTGCTATCTCCTTTAGATTTCGAGATATTCATTGAAAACTGACAATACTCGAAATTGGCTTAAGATCCGGGTGGATTATCTTTCGATCGTTATCTCCATTATTTTTCCATCGTCATAATGTAAAATATATCACAATTTCTATTGGATTTTACATCACGCATGAGTCCCTAAAAATTATAATTATAATTATTATTATATTATAATTATTATTATTGTACAAAAGTAAAAAAAAACTGAAAGAGTGTTTTTAATAAAGATTAAGAAATAAGTCCGGTAGAGAGGAAATAGTGAATGGATAATTTATCATGGTAACTAGCGATCTGACTGCCATTGACTTCTGTGACAAATGACGACTTAACAGCCGTTAGATACATCAAATTATTAATTTGCAATTTCCTCTCTATTGGGTTTATTTCCCAATATTATTCAAAAACGCTATTTGAAAATGTTCAGCTTTTTTTCACCGTTTTGACTCCAGGGCTATGTAAAACTAAATAGCAATTCGCGATCATTTCAGATTATCAAAATAAAAAAAAAACAACCAAGATCACGTTCGAAGGATAATCCACCACTTCACTACTCTGAGAGAAAAACGACGAAATTCTCAAAGTATTTGTTTTTCTCTCAGTGTACTGTACGAATGTTTCCCTTCGTAAATTCCAGGTTGTGGAGCTGTTTAACCACATAAGCACAAACGTCGGATCCTACACGATCCCACCATGGTTCTACCAGCTGCTCTCGGACTACCAAATAACCCGGAACGTCCTGATAATCTCCACAGCGATAGTAATCCTCTTCATCACAGTTCTCCTCTCCTTCCTCCGAAAATGGAAGAACAAAGAGCTCCTCGTGAAAGAGGTGAAGGAGTTCGTTGGGGTAGGAAGTGGAAAGCCAAGGTTTCGTAAGCGAGACAAGGTCCTGTTCTACGGTAGAAAGATGCTGCGCAAGGTGAAGTCAATAAGTGGGCAGGTGCATCCCACGGGTCAGGGTAAGAAGCGTCGTGCGGTCATGAGATTTGCGAGGAGATTGCTCCAGCTTAAGAAGGACACTGCGCCGCAGCAGCTGAAGGTCCTGGAGCCACCGGCCGAGTACTTGGAGGAAGATCTTGGACCTGGAGACAGAGTTCCTCCAGATGCACTTTACATTCTCCAAAGTATCAGGGTTTTTGGACACTTTGAGAAGCCCGTGTTCTTGAAATTATGCAAACACACTGAGATTATGAATTTACCAGCTGGATCAGCTCTGTTCAAGATCGGAGATCCTGATGAGAATGTTTTTATAGTCCAGCAGGGACTCGTTAATGTCTATATTAATGGAGTTGACGGCTCTCAGGTGCCACTGAAACTCGTCAAGACTGGGGAATCGGTGACGAGTCTTCTCAGCTTCACTGATGTCCTGACTGGACACACAAGCACGTACAAGACAGTCTCAGCCAGGGCTGTTGAGGACTCCGTCGTTGTGAAATTACCCATGAGCGCGTTTCAGGAGGTTTTTCAGGATCATCCTGATGCTTTCATTCGGGTCATTCAGGTCATCATGGTGAGGCTGCAGAGGGTCACCTTCACGGCGCTTCATCAGTACTTGGGGCTGTCTGCTGAGCTGGTCAATCCGGGGTCTCATAAGAAGAAGCAGAGCCCTTTCTCCGGGTCGCCTGTGAGGTCCAGGACGAAAGAGAATTTTTCCACTCAAGTTCATGATGGGGCTTCTTATTCTACTTCTAATGAGGGGCAGGAGGGCAGTGAGGCTAGTGCTCATGGCTCACATCCGGTTAATATTGGAGGGTTGAAGAGGTAAGGTAAAAGAGTTGTGGATATTTTTTTTTTGAGAGAGAGATGGGTTCACTGAGGTTTCTTGCTGTTTCGGACGTGAAAATACATGATTTGAGGAGAATTTAGGTTTCAATTGAATAATTCTATGACATTTTGTAGAAGTCAGGAAAGTTCGGGGGAATGTCGTTCTGAATTCGGCGTCGGTTGGTACTAAATATGCGAAAATTGGAAAATGAAATGAACAAATAAGAATAACACGAAATAGTTTTACTAATATGAAAATTCAGGTAAATTTTGCTTTGAATTCAGCATAATTTGGTACTGAGTATGAGAAAATTATGTAATGAATTAAATAAACAGGGATGAGATGAAATGAATTTTCCTGATCTGAAATAGCAATGGGAACTTTAGATTTCAGTTGAATTATTCTATGACAATTTGTAGAAGTCAGGAAAGTTCGGGGGAATTTCGTTTTGAATTCGGCGTCGTTTGGTACTAAATATGCGAAAATTGAAAAATGAACTGAACAAATAAGAATAACACGAAATAGTTTTACTAATATGAAAATTCAGGTAAATTTTGCTTTGAATTCAGCATAATTTGGTACTGAGTATGAGAAAATTATGTAATGAATTAAATAAACAGGGATGAGATGAAATGAATTTTCCTGATCTGAAATAGCAATGGGAACTTTAGATTTCAGTTGAATTATTCTATGACAATTTGTAAAAGTCAGGAAAGTTCGGGGGAATTTCGTTTTTAATTCAGCATAATTTGGTACTGAGTATGAGAAAATTATGAAATGGAATAAATAAACAGGGATGAGATGAAATGAATTTTCCTGATCTGAAATAGCAATGGGAATTTCAGGTTTCAGTTGAATTATTTTATGACAATTTGTAGAAATCGGGAAAGTTCGGGGGAATTTCGTTTTGAATTCGGCGTCGGTTGGTACTAAATATGCGAAAATTGGAAAATAAAATGAACAAATAAGAATAACACGAAATAGTTTTACTAATATGAAAATTCAGGTAAATTTTGTTTTGAATTCAGCATAATTTGGTACGAAATATGAGAAAATTATGAAATTAAATAAATAAACAGGGATGAGATGAAATGAATTTTCCTGATCTAAAAATTGAGGAGAAAATTCAATGGAAACTTTATATTTTAGTTGAATTATTCAGTAAAAATTTATAGAAATCAAGAAAATTCAGATAAATTTTACTTTGAATTCATTAAAATTTGGTACAAAATGTGCAAAAGTTAAAAAATTAAATTACAATTATAATTATAATTGTTATTAATAAACAACATGGAATAATTTTCCTGATCTGAAAATTCAAGGAATTTTGGGAATCCTCATCTTTCTGCTGAGAAACCTGAAGAGAAAACTCAATGGAAACTTTATATTTCAATTAAATTATTTCATAAAAATTTATAAAATTCAGGAAAATTCAGGTGAATTTTGATTTAACTTTAGCGTTTGTTAAATTCATCAAAAAACGAAACACACAAACGATGATAAAATTAAATAATGTTTCTGATCTGAAAATTCAAGTCATTTTGGAAATCCTCATCTGTCCGCTGCCAAGTAAATCTGTAATCCCCTCAAATTTTCAGATAAATTTTAAAATTTCATGATTTTCCCCCCTTAATCGAAATCCACGTCGCTCTCCTCAAAATAACTACTAAACTGTCCATGAAATTTCATTTTGTTTCTAACACTTTCCATCGAAATGATCCAAGAAAATAAAATATTTCGCCTACTTATAATAATTATCAAATTCTGGAAATACTTTTATATAAAAAAAAAAGTGAAAAATCGAATGGTCTCGTTTTGAACTTTGAAACGTAACTCTCCATTGAGTTCAGCCATGATTTCACTCTTTCCTTGCCCCACATAAATTCCAGATTGTACTTCTCAATTTAATCAAAAGGCAGTAACTTTTCTCCAAGAATAATTCCGAAAACTGGCAACATAAAAATATCAACATTTTACTCCTTTTAAGAGAACGAAAAACAGTAAAATTAATTTGTTATTCCTTCCAACAACGAAAAAAAGAAAATATTAATTTGTTATTCCCTCCACCAGAACGAAAAACAACCTAGACTGGAAGCTCCTGGCGTCGTCCCAGCTCCCAGTGAGTCACACAACGACCCCGGACATGGTGCCCGAGTGCGACGCCCACTGGTCCTCGTTGCCCCCCTCAAGCCTCCCCTCGCACCCCCCAAGCCACCCCAGCAGCCAGAGCGGACCGGACGTGATGCACACAGGCACCCCCTCAGGCTTCCCCCGAAAAAAATCGACCAACGAGCCCCCGCCCCCCTTCGACGAGGCCCACCTGGTCCAAATAGCGACCGAGGCGTTCGTCAAAGAGCTCGGCCTAGAGGACGACTCAGTCCTCAAGGAGAAAGTACAGATCCGCGAAGTCCCAGCTGGCACTTACCTCATGAAAGAAGAGTCCCACAAGGACGTTGCCCTAGTCTACGTGGTCTCCGGCTCCCTAATAGTCTCCCAAAAAGGTGCTGAGGGTAACGCAACGAACGAGGAGATCCACATGTTCAGCGCTCACCAGGGAGAGATAGTGGGTGGTCTGGCAGTGCTGACAGGCGAGCCCTCGTTCTACACAATCAGAGCCAAACACCCGAGCAGAATCGCCCTCCTGAGCAAGCAGACCTTCTTCTCGATAATGAGGGACACCCCAACGGTCGTCCTCCACGTCGCCAACACTGTGGTTCGAAGGTTGAGCCCTTTCGTCCGCCAGGTGGACTTCGCCCTGGACTGGCTCTTTCTCGAGAGTGGTCGAGCTGTTTATCGTCAAGGGGACGAGTCAGACTCGACGTTCATCGTGTTGAGTGGACGTTTGAGGTCTGTCATCACTCACGCCAACGGGAAGAAGGAGCTCGTGGCTGAGTATGGAAAGGGGGACCTCGTGGGGATCGTGGAGATGGTGACGCAGACCCCTAGGTCCACCACTGTGATGGCTGTTCGTGATTCAGAGCTTGCGAAACTCCCTGAGGGACTCTTCAACGTTATCAAGCTGAGGTATCCGATCGTCGTGACGAGATTAATTAATTTGCTCGGGCACAGGATTCTGGGGACTTGGAAGCAGGTTCAGAGTCCTGTCACCAGCAGTCAGAGGGCCACTGTCGATGCCAGACCTGCGCAGGTGAATTTCTCTACTGTCGCTATTGTTCCGGTCTCTGAGGATGTGCCTCTCACTGCTTTTACGTATGAACTGTATCACTCGCTCTGTGCCATTGGACCCTGCTTGAGACTGACTTCTGAGGTCGTGAGGAAGACTCTGGGGGCGAGTATTATGGAGCCGCCTAATGAGTACAGGCTCACGTCTTGGCTGGCGCAGCAGGAGGATCAGCACAGGATTTCGCTGTATCAGTGCGACTCGACGTACACAGCCTGGACGCAGAGGTGTGTCAGGCAGGCTGACTGCATTCTCATTGTCGGACTGGGGGATCGACCCCCGAGTCTGGGGAGGACTGAGAGGGAGGTGGAGAGACTCGCTATGAGGACGCAGAAGGAACTCGTGCTTCTGCACAAGGAGCAGAGTGGCCAGAGACCTTCCAATACTGTGCAGTGGCTGAATATGAGGAGTTGGGTCTCTAGTCATTTTCATATTCAGTGTCCCAAGAGGATGTTCACTAGGAGGTCGCAGTACAGAATTGTAAGTGGAGGTTGGGGATTTTTATTTTAGTGGGATGGGCCACCGAATTTTTTAAGGTGAAGAGAATTTTAAATTACTATAACTACACGATAGATCGGGAAGTTAAAAACTTTTTCAGTTCTTGAAAATTTTCTGCACTTGAAAAATTATAAGATCCTGGGCGTGGAAGACAATTTGTTGTAAAAACGTAGCGGATTGGCGAGAGAATTCGATTAGATTTCTATTGAACTTCTATTGAGAATTCTATGAGTTATATAGGGAAAGTGATGGAATATTATATTGAGAGATCTTTTTGGACTGCATTTTTTAATTTCATTTGACAAATCAAACAAAACACGGAGAAAATTTAAGTCGAGAAATTCCTACAGAAAATATATACGTGGAGTGAGTTACAAAAAATAATCGAATTCTGTTGTTTTTCAGTGCTTAAAAAATTTAATAAGATCCTGCGCATGGAAACAAATTTTTTATTTCATTTCATCAAAGCTATAGCCAAGATTTTCTTAATTACTTGAACTGTTGGTATTATACATTCTTCAATCAGTAATTCTTTTATAAATTTAAAAAAATAATAATTCTTGGTAAAAATTGGGAAAATTTCTGAAGACTTCTAACGACTGCTTAAAAAATCTAAAATATTCTCTACAAAACAATAAAAAAGTCTCGGGTTGTAATTTTTTCTAGAATAACTCAATAGAGCGATTGTTTTTTCTACCCAATGAAATTATTTTAATTCTTTCAGAATGAGCTGTACTCAAAGGTCCTCATGTCGGAGCCCAACGTCCACAGTGACTTTAGCAGATTGGCGAGGTGGTTGACAGGTACATCAGTGGGGCTGGTCCTCGGTGGAGGTGGAGCAAGGGGAGCTGCACATGTGGGGATGTTGAAAGCTATTCTGGAGGCAGGGATTCCTATTGACATGATTGGGGGGGTCAGTATTGGCTCCTTCATGGGGGCTTTATGGTGCATGGAGAAGAACATCACTACGACGACGCAAAAAGCGCGAGAATGGTCCAAGGTAGGGACAAAGTACACTGAGAAAAAAAATTACTTTTGCCAAGGAATCATTTTCTTGGGAGAAGAATCTATTTTTTGCGGAGCGGATTTCTCCAGGCCAGTCATTATCAAGGAGTCCAAGTCCATCTCTAAATATTATAATTATGTTCAATTATGGAATGATTATATTACATATGACCGTGAATGAACTCAATTGACAATTATTAACCTTTAAAATTATTTCAAATTATTATACGTTAGAAAACCTCGAATTTGAGAAAATTGAAAAATAATTAAGCGTATTCACTCAAGGTCATATGTAGCATAATCATCCCATTATTCAACATAATTGTAAAATTTGGAGATGGACATGGACCACCTGGGAATGACTGGCCTAGAGAAATAAGCTCCTGAAAAAATGAATTCTTCTCCCAAGAAAATGATTCCTTGGCAAAAGTAATTTTTTTTCCCAGTGTAAAGAAGTTTAAACCGTCAAAAAATAAAATGTTGCCTCTGTCTGGAGAATAGTAATCGTTATTATCTCCAGCAAGAATTTCCATTTGGAACAGAAATAGAAAATCTTTCTTATTTCTCGTTCATTTTTCTTTCGATAATTTGTCTATAAATCATAATTGTTTCAGGCCATAGATTGGCATCAATCATTAATTCTTGTAATATTTTCGTTGAAATTTGAATATTATAAAATAATTCAGTAGCGAAGTGTTAAAACGAGCCAATTTTGACTATTGACCAGTTTTCAATCAATATCTCGGAATCTAAGGGAGATAGCGAAATTTTTGTTATAACCTTTTTTGTGGAGCCGATTGAGAGCTACAAGAAATGTAATTACGAAAATTTCGCTATCTCCCTCAGATTCCGAGATATTGATTGAAAACTCGTCAATAGTCAAAATTGACTTATCTCCTTTTACCACTTCGCTACTGAATTGATAATTTAAATTTTCAATTGACTGTGAATTAAATAATTGATATTATGGAATTATAAATTGACTATTGAGCAAATATTTCTAAATTTCATAAAATTAAAGCTAAATAATCGTCAATCCTCGTAACGTAATGTAGCAACTATGAACGTCCTATAAGAATTTCGAAACAACGTCATCATTTTTTCTCACGAAATGAAGCCCCTTCAGCTCGCTGATCACCCAAATGACGATATAATTCCCCAAGAATAAAGACATCAGCAAAAACATGACGATAAAACAAAAGTATTTATTTCTCTCCAGAAAATGACTCAATGGTGGCGTCAAATCATGGACTTAACGTACCCAATGACGTCAATGTTCTCCGGAAAAGACTTCAATAAAACGATTCAAGCAACGTTCGGAGATACTTACATCGAAGACCTCTGGCTGCCTTTCTTCATCATAACTACTGACATCACAGCTTCTTGTATGCGCACGCATACACATGGTTTGTATCTCAAAATGATAATTAGAGTAGATTGTACTTTACTCGACAGTAAAAAGTTCACTCACTTATTTGTTCACATTTATTGTCAAATTCATTAGTCGAGTTTATACTCTAGCAAAATTTTTTTCTAATAATCTTCACCGTAGAATAGTTGCAGTACAGTAGACTGTGCTTCTCATTTCTTCTGTTTTTTTCATTAATGAATAAATGCACTCGTTTGTTTTCATTGTTTGTTCGTTTGTTTGTTTGCTGATAAATTCAATTTCATTGACGGGAGCGAGTTTTCAATGAATCGTTGTTGACGTACTCATCGTTGTACATAGGTCAGCAATTGTAAGCGTAAAGTTGGGTTTTATTTCGTTGTTTCATGGATTGAGATGATCAGCATCAGTATCTTTGATTATTCGGTTGATTAACAGTAAAAGTAATGATTGATGAATGAATTGGTTGAATTACGTATCAATAAAGTAAGGAATACAGTCCTCGGTTATTATAATAATAATTTACAGTGTTTATAAGTTATTTGAAAGCTGTTGATTGAGGATTAAACAGTGAAGTGGTTAAACGTTACGCAGCACACACGAACAAAATTTTGTGTAAAAACCTCGCGAATTGGGTGGAGAATTCGATTAGATTTCTGTTGAACTTATATTGGAAATTCTATTCGATTTTCGCTGATGCTGTTGAAAAATTCTGTAGGAAAATTCATTGGGAGATTTTCTACAGAATTTTCTCGGGATGAATTTCCTAGGTTTTCTTTCAAAAAAATGTACAGAATGAGATTGAAACCAATTGAATGAATTCTATTGGTTTTCTCTATAAAATATTTTCTATTGAGCATTCCTACTCATAAAAATCCTCAGAGAAGCAGCAGATTTTTTAAAAATAGAATTGGCAAATAACTTTGCTAAACGAAAGAATTTCGAATTGAAATTCAATAGAATTTTCTAATGAATTCGTTAAAAAATTCTGGACAAAAGATTTTATTGCTATTTCGCTGATTTTATTTAACAACTCTAAACTCCGAAACTATTTCATAGAACAAAATCCGTAGAATTTCGGGTTTCTTTACTACTTTTTCTATTGCGATATTTTCTATAGAAATTCTTCAACATTGAGTTCTTGACGTTTTTTCCATTCCATTTTTTTCTCTTCTAATTGCAAAAATTAGACAAAAAACCGAGAAAATTCTGGTCGAGGAATTTCTGTAAAAAATATTTGAATAGAATAGAAGTATAGAAAAATGAAATTCAATAGATTTTTTTCAATAAAATATTCTCAATGTAATCGACGAAAAACAAAGAATTTTCAATTGAAGTCCAGTAAAATTCTCTAACGAATACGCTAGGTTTTTCTATGCAATTTTTTCGTACTTAATTCTGTGAAATAAGGAAATTATTTCGATAGTGAGACATTTTGGGAGAGAATATCGAGAGCCTTGCAGCTGGAATCAATTTTGTAAAAAAAATCTAGCGAATTCGTTAGAGACAATTCTGTTGGATTTCCATTGAATTTTATTTTTTTTTGCGGTTTCTATTGAAATATTTTCTACAGAAATTCTGCAAGATTCTTCGACTCCATTTTGTTTCTCTTCTAATGGCAAAAATCTGACAAAAAAACTGAGAAAATTCAGGTCGAGGAATTTCTATAGACAATATTTGAGAGAATGAGTTGCATAGAAAAATGAAATTTAATAGATTTGTTTCAATAAAATTTCCTCAATATAATCGACGAAAAACCGATAGAATTTTCAATTGTCCAAGAAAATTCTCTAACGAATGCGCTAGGCTTTTTTTGACGAGATTGGTACTAGAATTCTGTGAAATACAAAAATTTCAGGAGAGAATATCGAGAGCCTTGCAGCTGAAAAAAAATTTCCACTAAAAAGTTTTCTCGATCGTGTACGAAAAAAATTAATAGAAAAACCTAGCGAATTCACTAAACAATTCTATTTCAAATGAACTCTCTATTAGTTTTTGGCCGCTTTCATTGAAATATTTAACAGTAAACATTCTATAGAAAAATTCAAGAGAATTCGATTTTTCTGTGCAGCTTATTCTATTGAGATATTTTCTATAGAATTCCCTCGGCCCAAATTTCCCAAGTTTTTTTTGTTTAATTTTCCTAATGTAAAGTAAACAAAAGAGAACGAAAAAAAAACTATAGAAATCCTATACAACAAATCTCAGTAGAATAAGTTGTGTAGAAGAATCGAATTCTATTGATGTTTTCTATAGAAAATTTTCAGTTAACCATTTCAATAAAAACAGCCGAAAACTAACAGAAAGTTCAACTAATAGAAATCCAATGAAATTCTATCAAGTTCGCCAGGTTTTTCTATTAAATTTTTTTGTGCGTGACATTTCCCCCCAAAATCACTCATTCTTAGAATGATACATTGACGTTTGGCTACTCCACTATAGAATCGATCAAATCAAATTGAAGAATAATTAAAAGGAAAATCCAATTAATTCGTGGTGATGTTTAGGATCGCTGTGGCGTTACATTCGAAGTTCGATGTCATTGTCTGGTTATATGCCACCATTATGCGACCCCACTGATGGCCACCTACTCCTCGATGGCGGGTACGTCAATAACCTTCCAGGTAATTAAACTGAAAACATTAAATCTACAGAGGAAAAATTGTTTGGTAAATCTCTTGAAAGAAAAATGATAATGTTGAAGTAGGAATTGTGAATGACGAAGAAACTCGCTTCCGTCGATGAAAGGATGCATCGTTGAGAATTTAAAAACAAATGTTGAGTTTAATTGGAATAGGATTGCTTTGGAAATACGTGCGGTCCAGTATGACAGTTGCTGGTGTTTTTCCTCCCATTTGTGATCCTCACGACGGGCATCTTTTGGTCGACGGATGTTATGTTAATAATGTTCCAGGTAAAATAATTCAAAACGACAAAAAATTGCGTCAAATAATCATTTTTCGGCTGTTTCATTTTGCCCCATTCACAGAAAATAGTTAGGAAATTTAAGCCGAGGAAATTGAATAGAAAATCTCAACAGAATAAATTGTAAAAAAATTGAATTTCATTGACTTTTTCTACAGAACATTTTCTATTGAACATTTCAAATAGAATCGGCCAAAAACTAATAAGAAAGTTAAATAAAAATGTAATATTTATCTAGCGAATTCGCTAGGTTTTTCTATTAAATTTTTTCGTCTGACGTATCTTAATTTCGAAAATGAATGCTCTCTAATCCACGAAATTAGCTGACGTCATGTTAAGACATGGAGCACATCACATTCTGGCCATCGACGTGGGGTCACAGGACGACACAGATTTAACAAATTACGGAGATTCGTTGTCGGGCTGGTGGTTACTCTGGAAACGATGGAATCCCTTCGCTGTTCCTGTCAAAGTCCCCAATTTACCTGACATTCAATCGAGACTTGCTTACGTCAGCTGCGTAAGGCAGTTGGAGGAGGTCAAGTCCTCGGATTACTGTGAATACATCAGGCCACCCATTGACAAATATAAAACGCTGCAATTTGCCAATTTCGATGAGATCAAGGACGTTGGATATCATCATGGTAATTTCTCCATTTATAATATTATTGAGACATAATTTCGACGATAATGCGATATTTTTACCTGCGAAAAAACTCGATGTGAAGCCCAACGTATCCCAGAAAATTCTAGAAGAATTTGATCGAAATTCTGTTCATTTCATGTTATTCTCGTTTTATTCATTTTATTGTCAGTTGAGTTTTCGGAGAATATCTCCTAATCTAAGGGAGATAGCGACATTCTCATTATTATCTTTTTCGTAGCTCTCAAGGCGCTCTACAAAAAAGGTTATGAGAGAAATTCTGCTATCGGCCTTAGATTCCGAGATATTCATTACAAACTCATCAATAGACAACATTGAATTAGACAATTTTACCGTTTCGCACTCGATTTTGTCCTGTAAATTTCACATTCTCGTAAAACTGATGTTTTTGCTTTCGAATGGAAGCATTGTATTCGTCAAATTCACGGACACCAATTAAAATTCAATTTTTCATACAGATTCGAAAGATTGATATTTTTCCAAAAATCGATTTTTCAACGATCACTCAAGAAATTGTCATCAAAATGGAATTAGTCATGGTTCAAAAAATGGATAATCATTTGACAGGATAGAATCATTTGACAGAACGAAATAATGCGCAAAATTTTGATGGCAAATTGCTAATTTATTATCAACAATAACTACACTCATTCATAAATAAATGCAATTGTCCACTTGTTATCAATTAATTTCCACGTTTCTTTCGATTAAAGGGAAAACGTACTTTGAGGGTCAATCAAAGGCTGGCGTCCTTCCTCGTTTCAACGCAGACCGAGAGACCGCACGAGCGCTGAGAGAAAAACACAAGTCAGGGAATCCGGAGGCGTCCTCTTACACCTTCACAGACCTCGCGCAAATGGTGTGTAAAGTCTCCCGAGGGAATCGTTATGGTGATCTTGATGACACAGACTCTGATGAGTTCGAGGAATACGAGGCTGACCTCGAGGAAGACGCCCAGGAGGTCGGTTATGCGTCAGAGCCAACTGCTGGGATTCTAGATCAGGTAAAACACCTTCCTCCATAATATGTGGACGTCCGCATGAAAAGGGACCACTTTGGCACTATTGGAGTTATGTTTATGCCAATAATCTTGATCTGATTATGCAAATTTAGAGCCAAAAATGAACTTGATAGCGTAAAGAGTGACGACGCTATAGACGATCGAAAAAATAATTTAACATGGGTTTAAATGGGAGTTGGCAAGAGATAAACGTGAATATCTCATGCGGACGTCCACATATATTGGATTTTTATTTTGAAAAATGTTACTTCGACCAATAACAATTCAATTTAATTGCTATGGAATTTTTATCTCAACATATCTCTCACAATTGAGTATTTTCTGAGATTCAGTCAATGTTCCAGATATTGCCAATGATCCAGCTTCTGCCACCCTTGAAGTAGTGTAAACATAACTTGAATTTTGAAGATTAAAGTCTAAATAGTATTTTTCCGGGCTGCTGCAATGGGGTTTTTCACTCGTGTGGCGTTGGCGTCCGAGCCGAAGGCGAGGACTGGCCAACCACACGAATAAAAAACCCCATCGCAGCAGCCCGGGACAAGATTTTTTTGTAGCGATTTTCAAGTTTTCGAGTTTGGGAAGTGTGCAATACCAATTCCCAGATGAGAAATCGTGAGAATCACTACAGAAAATAAATTTTAAACGAAAGTTAGTAGACCAGGAATATTCTAGTTGAGTTTGTGCGCAATCGACAGTCTAGTATTATTGATAATAATTAATCTAGAAGTGAAAAAATAACACAGAGTCTCATGAGAAAATGAACTTTTCGACGAAGAAATCTCGAAAAATCATGAAAAATGAATAAAAATTTTGTGCCCAATATGAAAATTATCCTCGGTGTGAACTTTTCGTAAGAAATAATTTACGAGAAATTAAAAAAAAATAATTGCAGAAAGAATTTGATGGATCAATTTTTAATACTCATCAAAGATAAAATTCATAGGAAAAATTATCAGTGATGAATGATTTTTTGCCCTTTTAGTTTATTTTTCTTCGTTACATTCAAGGACTTAATTGGAGTTCATTCATATTACTTTAAGGGCCTGATTTTTTTTATCAAAAATATCAATGGGAAATTTATCGAAAAAGTAGAAATGAATTGTTCTGAAGGAACAATTCGTTTCTTTGGAATTCGCCGCGTTCTACGGATGAGCTAATATTATTTTGATCTTTATTCATCATTACTTTCAGAGTCCTGACGACAGCCGATTGAGACGTCGTGCAGGAGTTTCTCTCAGCCTCTCGGACACAGAGGCTGAGTCAGAATTGGAGTACCATCCAAAGCTATTTTGAACCTGGAGAGAAAGACCAAAAGTGAGAGCTTTACTTGCGATAAAATGGGTTACCATTTAAGTTAGAATAATAATCTAGACAAAATCCAAATTTTCATAATGAAGCACAGGGATATTTTCTATTCATGGTTGGGGATGTAAATTACAAAATTTGTCGACGAAATCCAGCCCCTGAGAGTTTACCATCTCGTTAATCATCGTGTAAACAATGCAATGATTGTATCTATCGAGGTACACGTACTGAATAACTCATTTGTATTTAATATTAAGAATGCGAAAGAAATAAATGAAAATTTTCTATTTGTACATAAAACCAACTCGCTTTGTTTATTATAAAAATTTGTTTCTTCCAACTTCCGTTGACTGCGATTCACGTGTAAAGAACTTTGGGAGATCTCGGGAGAAGAATCAAATGGGAAATTGCTTTCGGCATAATATAGTGAATATTTTTTTGCTAATGAATTGGCAATTGGTTTCGAGTGGAATTTCTATGACGATGTATTTTTAATTGAATTGAATGCCGTCGTATTTTTCATTGAATTCAATAGGCCGTCAACGTTGGCAGCCGACATTGCCCCAAAGTTGGCGGCCAACATTACCTTAACGTTGGGTAAATTTTACCGTGGATTCACGGTAGATTCTCACTCACACCTTGTCTGACATCTCTGCTATGAACTCTGGTTTTCAACTCTGGTTTCATAGTTGAAAACGTTCACATAAACTAAAAAAATATTTATTTCATCTTTTATTTGCGTTTAAGGCCCGGGGGTACTATCTTTCGAATATTATCTGAATTTTATCTTTCGTAATCCAAAATTGTCAATTGAGTGGTACGTCATATAGAAATTCCCAAAAATTATGATAGAATGATAAAAAAAATGGAAAAAATTCTCAACTTTTTCAAAGAGCGTTTTTAATTGAGGTTCAGAATGAGTTGAAAAAAGTGGAAATTACAAATATCTGATTCGCTGTGGCGAATTATCATCTGCCATTATTATTCATCTGCCATTTTTATTTTTATTTACTTTCAATTTTTTGTCTGTCTCATTACAAAAATAAAATAGATTCCAGGCTTAATCTAACATTCTGAAGATTCTTTTCACAAAAAAAATGAGAATTTTAACGGAGTCCAACCAGAAAATCTCACTAAACATAACAGCACTCTCTAGAAATCTGTTTTCATGGTCAGTTCTGGGTCCAGAACATTGAGAGCAGCTCCCACCAAGTGCATGGACCCAGCGACCAATATCTGCACCCTCTCCTCCCCTTCGTTGAATTCCTCCCGAATCCTCTCGAATACCTCCAACAGTGATTTTCCAGTGACACCACCTTTCCCCCAAATATTACAGTGAAGTTGGCACTTCTTCTGCTGCTCCTCACTCGTAGTTGTGAAATTCTCCTGATCAGTGCAGTTCTTCCCCGAAATATTTGGTACGAAGTAAGCCTTGACGAATGGAATCTCCCTCAAAATATCCAGATGCTGGGAGGAAGCTCGGTTGCCGGTAGAATTGAAAATCAAAATTTTCTTGCAGTTGTTCTTTTTCTCCTGAGTCTTTCTGAACCACTGGACGCAGACTTTCATGCTGTCAATTGTGTGGGCCCCGTCGAGATAACAGTCCGACGATTTGCCATGCAAAACTTGAGTTCTTCCTGGACACTTGCAGTTTTTCAATCCCATTTCAACCATTTTCAAATCGAACCCCTGTAGGTTTCCATTTTGAGGCATGAAATTTTCGTTATTCTGAGTCTTCGCTGAGTTGATCCAAGTCAATGAATTAAATTAATTTTTTTTTGCACTTTCGTTTTTCGCGATTATCTCGGAAACTATGAGAGATAGAGCCTTGAAACCTATTCCATTCGATTCCTGAGGAAATTTGGGTTCCCGATAGGTCGATAGACGGCGCAGAATTGCGTTTTGGGTTACTTGCGGTGGTATTCTAAAATTGGATATAGAGGCATTGAAGAATGTTAGTATCACAGAAGTTCAATAACACCCCCGTCGAAATCGCCGACAGCTATTCATTTTTCGGAATAATGATGATTTTTTTCAGACACTCCAGCTGGCTTATTCTATCTACAACATTCTCTAGGATCACAGTTATCCTCAGGCGACTCTCCGTAGCTCTCTACTTCTCTAGCTCTTCGGGCGTCGCCGAGCGAGGGGAATATCGCCCCCCACTACGTGTGTGCCGTCACGGACTCGGAACAACTCGAGAGGGGAAGTGTGTTTTGGGAATTGACGGTGGCTATAGCGTTCTTGCTTGAATAGTCACAGTGTCCCTCCTGCCAAACACTTGTAGATGCGTGACAATTTGAAATTAATTAAATGGATTCTCGGATAAAAGATAGTCGAAAGACAACAGTATTTCTGAATATTTATATCTTCATTGTATTCGTTGATTGAAAACTAATACAGAATACTTGTATGTTAATAAGACTGTTCACGCCAAGGAAACCGTTGAGAAATTGCGTTTTCAAGGGTTCTGGCGGCATCGATGTCGTCCATCTCCCATCTCTGAATCATAATAATTTTAATGAAAATAAATATATTGAGAGGCCGCGGAAATGAAAACAAAAAATTACTGAAATTCGGGGAAAATTGTGTTTCATGACTTCTCAACCAATAAGGGATTACAAATCCTGAGGATAACATGAAAGATTCCCCATTTTTCTAGGACTTGAATGCGGAGAGTTCAAGGTGAACTGAATGGAATGAATAATTTGAGAAAATTTTCAAATGTACAAAGAAAAACGAAGGCGAAATTCCTTTCGTTACAACATAGTCCATATTTTTTTTGCTAATAAATTAGGAATTTGCTTCTAAATGGAATTTCTATGACCATCTATTTTTCATTGAACTCAATGATTCATTGAATTCAACATTGTTCCAACGCTGGCAGCCAACACAGTCCCAATGTTGACAGCCATAAAAAGTTAGAAATCAATTAATGCTTCCATTCGAAAGCACAATGTTCAATAGCTTGAAAAATTTATTCCGTTTCTGGCAACTGGATGAAACGCATTGCAGGAGATCTGAAGGGGATAAATAATTTTAAGAAATTGCATAAAACACGAGGTGGTTAACAGGTACGGACGCCGCCATCTTGGATACCTCCTCCCTCTGCGACAAATTGCTTTAAAAATGGCGGTGCTCCCACCTCGTACTTTTAATCATTTCTCAAACTCATGTTTCCCATTCAAATCACTCACAACTCGCTTCGTTCAGTTTCTACGAAATGAACAAATTTGTAAAGCCATCTTTCAAATTGTTCTATTGCTCATTGGCTAAGAATTCATGGGGCAAAGTTTTCCTCGAATTTCACTCCTTTTTTTTCTCCCGCGGCCTTTTCATGAAACAGATTCATCGGTCAGTTATCCTGACTGCTAAATAATTTTTACGTACATGTACATCTTCTTCTGCGACAAATGTGGGAACAACACTGACTTCCGGCGACGCACTGAAATCACATCGTGTTAAAAATTTCTAATTCGTCACTTCATTTGTGCTCATTATCGTGACTAACCGAGAGGTTCCTGGGTCTACACGGCGATGGTTGTGCGTTGACAGCCGCTAACAGCATCGCAACGAACAGGAAAAGATAAATGAACTTCATGATGCGGAAGGATATTTCTTACAATTTTCCTTGGTTACTTTCGATGCGAGTGACGACTGATGGAGGCAATTGCATTTATATGCGAGCAGACTCCTCCCTATTGCTCGCAAAGTTTGCTTTAGCTAAATGGATTTTACACATAACAATGTTTGCATCTGGTGAATTGCAGAGATAAGGGTATTCCCCATGTACCATATTTTGTTGTTTATTGTTTAGACAAGAAAGAGGGAAATAACTGCAACTGAGAATGGAAAATACCATCTTCATTTACTGCTTGTCACGATTCCTCGTCTGGAAATTGGTATTGCATACTTTCCAAAATCGGAAACTTGGAAATCACAGCCCAACAATTTTTTTCCGAGCTGTTGCGATATGGTTTTTTACTCGGCCAGTCCTCGCCTTCGGCTCGAACAACAACTTTCTACACAAGTGGGGAATTGCTTTCGTCTCAACATAGTCAATTTATTTTTGCTAATAAATTAGCAACTTGTTTAGGAATGGAATTTCTATGACGATGTATTTTAAATTAAATTCAATGACTCATTCAATTCAATACTGTCCCAACGGCGGCAGCCAATACTACCCCAACGATGGCAGTCAACATTGCCCCAACGCTGGTTGACAACATTACTCCAATTTTGGCAGCCAACATTGCCCCGATTTTGGCAGCTGACATTACCCCAACATTAACAGGCAACATTGTCCCAACGTTGACAGCCAACATTGCCTCAACGCTGACAACCAACATTGCCCCGATGTTGGCAGCCGACATTTCCCCAACATTGTCCCAACATTGACAGCCAACATTGCCCCGATGTTGGCAGCCGACATCTCCCCAACGTTGTCCCAACAGTGACCGCCAACATTGCCCCGATGTTGGCAGCCGACATTGCCCCAACATTAACAACCAACATTGTCCCAACGTTGACAGCCAACATTGCCCCGATGTTGGCAGCCGACATTGCCCCAACATTAACAACCAACATTGTCCCAACGTTGACAGCCAACATTGCCCCGATGTTGGCAGCCGACATTGCCCCAACATTAACAACCAACATTGTCCCAACGTTGACAGCCAACATTGCCCCGATGTTGGCAGCCGACATTGCCCCAACATTAACAACCAACATTGTCCCAACGTTGACAGCCAACATTGCCCCGATGTTGGCAGCCGACATTGCCCCAACATTAACAACCAACATTGTCCCAACGTTGACAGCCAACATTGCCCCGATGTTGGCAGCCGACATTGCCCCAACATTAACAACCAACATTGTCCCAACGTTGACAGCCAACATTGCCCCGATGTTGGCAGCCGACATTGCCCCAACATTGACAGCCAACATTGCCCCGATGTTGGCAGCCGACGTTGCCTCAACGTTGACAACCAACATTGCCCCAACCTTGAAATTTTTTGCCTTTCCCTGAATATTGGTTTCAAAATCAATTTTGTCAACAACAGATGATACAAACTCAGTCAAGGTGGCTTTGGAAAGAGTATTTTAAATAACAATTGGATTTATTTAAACTATAATTTTTTCAGTTATCCGGGCATGGTTTAAAAATGGCCTATTCGAACTCCTGAAGCTAAAATGAGTTATCCTGATATGAAAAAATAGGAAATTTCGGATTTGACAAATACAATACTTCCTTTCCGAAGCAAAAATATTAAAATCTTCTTATACTATTTATCTTGACATTTTCCGGTTGCGAAAATTCAATTCGTGGTTAGAATTCATAAAACTGTCATACAATAACTAGATTGAATGGATGAAACCGACATTTTAGTAAAAATCCTGTTTTTTCAAGAATTTTACAGTGTAAGGCTCTTATTATTCTTTTCTTCCCCAAGTTTATTTGATTGAAATTAATTTTTCCTTATTTACATATTTGCACATATTTCATTGAGGAGATGAGGGAATTTCCGAATCACCTTCGTATCATTGTGGACATTGCAGGCTAAAAAGGAAAGAACAAGAAAGATAATACAGATTTACGTCACTATTTACTAATGTTTTTTAAAAATAATATTTGACCAAAATCGTTTCACGTTAATGAAAAAAAATTGTTTAAAATCGGTTCTGTTTGCTGTTCTTTATTTTAAAAAAGTGTTAGGAAAAGTGCGAATGAGTACGAAGTTCCAGTTCCGAAACAATAAATTTATTTATTCAAATAATTCAGTCCCTGAGAGTTAAACAACTCGTTACAATAATTTTCAACGGTACAATGATTGCACCTATTGAGGAGCAAGTTCAATAATTAGTACGATAACTAGTAAATGCAGGGAAATTCCATCCTTACGCGCTACAAATTTAATTTATACCCGTGATGGAAATCATTTTTATAATAAAGACAATCACTGAGATTCAAACAATTTTCTCATCAAAAAATAGAATTTTATAATAGAAAAATATATAACCGAAAATTTTTTCGAAACTTAAGAGAACTTTTCAGAAATCTGTTTTCATAGTCAATTCTGGATCCAAAACATTGAGAGCAGTTCCCACCAAATGCAGAGATCCAGTAACCAATACTTGCGCTCTTTCCTCTTCGCTGAACTCCTCCCGAATCTTCTCGAATACCTCCAACAGTGATTTTCCAGTGACACCACCTTTCCCCCAAATATTACAGTGAAGTTGGCACTTCTTCTGCTGCTCCTCACTCGTAGTTGTGAAATTCTCCTGATCAGTGCAGTTCTTCCCCGAAATATTTGGTACGAAGTAAGCCTTGACGAATGGAATCTCCCTCAAAATATCCAGATGCTGGGAGGAAGCTCGGTTGCCGGTAGAATTGAAAATCAAAATTTTCTTGCAGTTGTTCTTTTTCTCCTGAGTCTTTCTGAACCACTGGACGCAGACTTTCATGCTGTCAATTGTGTGGGCCCCGTCGAGATAACAGTCCGACGATTTGCCATGCAAAACTTGAGTTCTTCCTGGACACTTGCAGTCTTTCAATCCCATTTCAACCCTTTTCAAATCGAACCCCTGTAGATTTCCATTTTGAGGCATGAAATTTTCGTTATTCTGAGTCTTCGCTGAGTTGATCCAAGTCTCCCCTAATTTGACGGCTAATGCAGCATTCTCGTGCTGAATGTCTCCGAGAATACCAATGTCAGGTGGGAATTTAGTCCACTGGTAGGTACTCAAGTCTGGGACAACAGTCAAAGGGCAGTTCTTCTCAACAGCTCTTTTATTCAGAACTTCCATCGCTTCTGGGGGTTGTTCCACCGTAAACGCAGGCACATTAGGTTTGAAAATTCCGGATTTTTGCCATGCGATACTGGAGAGAGTGTCACCGAGCATTGGAGTGTGGTCAAGCCCCAGAGCAGTGATACCAGTGCAGATTGGGGATTTCAGGACGTTTGTGCAGTCGTATTCGCCTCCAACTCCCACTTCAATGATTGCTACATCAATTTTGGAATTCAGGAACACGTGAAACATCAAGATCGTGAGGAATTGGAAGTAGGGAGGCATGTCGCCGGGGTGCTCTTTCTTCTCGCTGAGACAATTGTACAATTGCCAGAAATATTTCGTAAAATCATCCTCAGAAATAGCATCTCCATTTATTCGAATTCTTTCACGAACTAAAATTAAATGCGGGGATGTGTAAAGACCAGTGCGATATCCGTGAGCTCGGAGAATTGAGTCCACCAAGGTGCAGGTCGAACCTTTTCCTTTCGTTCCCGCTATGTGAATTACAGCCAGAGAGTTGAGCTTCTCAACGGCGATCCCATATCTGCAAATCCAGAAGAAAGAAATGCGACTCTGCATTTGTCTCGTTCTTTCATTCGCGGTTTGAAGAAGTAAAACGAAGGAGAGATAATGAAACACGTATGAAAAAATTCGGCTCCTTCAATTGGAATTCTATTGAAATTCTAGTAGAATTCTAGTAGAATTTTCGATTTCTATTAGAAATTATCTAGTGGAGAATTAGACAATTTGTCGTTAGAGTTAAAATTTGTCGTTTACCTCAGTAGATATTTCAAAAAGGTTTGCAGTTTATGGAGGGGCTCAGAAACTGTTCGCCACGCTGCCTTATTCTGAAGAGAATTCAGCGTCTTGATGGTGTCCTTAGGAAATTGAGAAAGTAACTATTCGATACGCTTTAATCCTGAAACTATATGGAGGATCTTTCTCATACAAGTCATGATTATTAATTGATTACAAATGAAGTCAACAGTATCAGTAGTTTATTTTTTTTGTTGGTCAACTCACTCACCTAAAGTATAGAGAATAGGTATTTAGTAAAAAGTCAAAAAAAAGAATTAATCGAAGATGAAAAATTATTCATTGATGTTTCACTCCTCATTCTCTTAATTCTCTTCAAGTCATTATCACTATTTATAAAACATCTATGAGTATATGAAATTTAATAAATTCGATTTCTTCATGTTCACAACAAATGGATAAGTCAGTTGTAATCTAAGAAAATACACAAATGTGTATTTGTATATTTATTTATGTAATATTTATTTTATCAAGTACCTGATACGTAGGACTACCAGTTGATTCTTCGTAATGCATCGCCCTGTACAGCTCTCTCTCCTCAACAAATGGATAATTGGTCGGATAATTGTTCAAGACGAGCTTGCACCGAGAGAAAAACGACAGGGTTCTCAAACAAGTCTTACTTATGCCAAGAATTTTTTTTTATCATAAAAAATAGTGTATTTCGATCCAAGTGCGACGGATTTTTCACGAGTGTGAAATTGGAGATCCGAGAAGAAGGCGAGGTGTACCAATTCACCAAATGAAGAATCCCCGTCGCACATGCATCGAACTATATTTTCCTGACGTTGCCTTTATGTGTCGTTAATAAAACAAATCATTTAATTCCACGGCCTTTTCAATGGGAGAAGAGTTTTCAATTATGTGGCGCTGAAAACCGATGTATTTACCTAGATCTTTATTGCTTCTCGCAAATCTGTCATGAAAGTCAATGATGAGGAATTGTTGAAAAAGTTTCTTCTGAGATTCATTCAGAAGTTTAGAAGAAGAATGGTAGAGTCCAGATAAAAATTCAGGAAGAGTAGTAGGAGAAGCCAATTGGTCATCAATAGACGTCTGAAAGACGGAAACGATCTTCTCTGAAGAATTTTCATTGAATTTTCGATTGATGATCGATCGAAATTCCGATAATAATCCACTCTTGGAAATGAAATCTAATCCAAGAATGCAATCGATTTTAATATTGGCGAAGACTGCCTCAATGTCAACCGAGATGTTATTGATAGAAATAACATCAATATCATAATATGAATAATCACATAGTGTGAATATCAACATGTTTACATTGTTAGAATTCTCTTATTAAAGTTGTTTTGAGGTTCACTGAATTATATATCTACCTCGTTATTTTTTTCGCCGTTGTGAACGCGTTTATCTTATCTATTCTTCTCTTTATGTGTTATATGAATTCCCGGTCTACATGAATATTCTGTGAGATTGGGAAGGGACAGAAAATGTGAAAACCTGAGAGGGTATACATGTGGAAAATAAATACAAATAGTGATACCCTGAAATTATATGATACCCTACTCCTTATTGACGATCCATCCATTGCTAGTGTTTGCAGTTGTAATAATAATAGCTTCGTAGCCTATCGAATAATAGAGTTGAGCGAGCAAAATGGTTCAGTCCAATTTGACGAATCTAAGGGTAACGAACCCGCCCGTGGAAAATACGAAAATACGGGTTTTCACTGTCAAATCGGACCTGCCTGATAAATTTATCAATGGATTTCCACAAGGAAACATTCCTGATCTTGACATACATGGGATTATGGAAACCCAAAAATTTATCAAAATGGAAATCTATTTTTTACAATCTTTATTCAGCAGTGGTTGTAACGATGATGACTACCTATGGCCTTTCGCGGTTAGTGAATATGATTGTCTCAACTAAAAATATGGCTCAATTTATATTTCTCGGAGTACTTGAAAGTGGTTTGAAAGGTTGTACTTTATTTTTTTACGCTTCAAAAATCATAAATATTTTCGAAATGGTGAGTCGTCCGCCCTTTCAATGTCAAACATCTGAGGAGTCTCTAGTTCACCAACAATTCAGCAGAGAAGTTCGGTAACGTTATAATCCGTAATATTGAGTACAAAAGCGTAGAATACAGTTGAATCTCTGTATAAGTTACCTCGAGGTCCGAGTGCTCGAGAATTAACTCTGTCAAATTAACTGAGGGGTCAAGAAAGACAAAGAAAGCACGTATTGAGTCATCGACTATCGATCTTAACTGGTTGGAGGTAAAAACTTAATTGAATAAGGGAGAAGCGAAGACGGTATCTTATATAAAATATCCGGTTTCTAGGGGAGCATGGGGCAAAATGAAACACGGGGCAAAATGAAACAGTGGGAAAATCTCGTCATCTAAAGGAGATAGGACATTTTTGAAGAAGACCTTTTTTGTAGCTTGTAAAATTCTCTACAAAAAGGTTTTTATGAAAATCATCCTATCTGCCTTAGATCACAAGATTTTCTTGCTGTTTCATTTTGCCCCGTGTTTTATTTTGCCCCACCGTCCCCTATTTCAGTAGTGAAGCGGTAAACCGGGTCAAGTCGATTTTGACTTTTGATCAGTTATTGATGAATATCTCAGAACCTAAGAGAGATAGCAAGATTTTTCTAATGACCTTTTTTGTAGAACCAATTAAGGGCTATAAAAAGGTCATAAGAAAAATTTTTCTATCTCTTTTAGATTCCGAGAGATTCGTCAAAAACTGGCCAATAGTTAAAATCGACTTAACCCGGTTTACCGCTTCGCTACTGATTTGTCTCCTCTGTGACGGCGCGCGCAGTGCGGGTGCGCCGATTCCCGGAATTTTCCTGCCCTCCTGTTCCTGAGGTATCTTATATAAAGAGCCAACTGATTATGCTCGTGTCTAATCCTGTTCATTGATTTCAGACGTGTTTCGCGCTACTGTTTTATGTACATCATGATAGCAGCACCATATTATGGAATTGATGCTTTTTTCACAGCTCTACCAAAGAGAAAATTACCGCTTGAATGTTGGTTACCCTATGATTACTCCAGTCTGTACGCATGGGGATTTTCATCAGTCTGTCTCTTACTTGGTATGCTCTGGGGTATTACATTCAATGTAGTATGCAATTGTCTCTTCTTCGAAATGATGATGCAAGTAGTCCTCCACGTGAAGATATTGAAGATTCGACTTCGAGCGATGATAAACACTCAACCGAATGCTAACAGGACCAATAATCATTGTAGAGGAAACCAATTGCTATTGGAACGTCAATCGTTGCATCATTGCGTTCAATATCACATCGCCATCATTAGGTGGAATTGTCTTTCTACTAATATCTGCGCCTGTGATCTCTCTTTCGGTGATTAATAATTATACGATTTCAGATTGGGCAAAGATATCAAGGCTATATTGTCCACCATAATATTGATAAAATACTCATTAACTTCCATCATGCTATGCACAACTGTTTATCTCATGGCCAAAACACCAGTATTTTCGACAAATTTTGTTAGCTTCAGCGTTTACTTCGGATTTATATTTTATCAAATATATATTCTCTGTTATGCTGGTCATCGCATCCGAATGGAGGTACTTGAATTGAATTATTGAAACTTTAAAAGTGAAGAATTGAATGATCACTCGTTGGATTTAGTGACTTTTTTGTAATAATAAAGAGTATTTGTAGTTTGACAGCATTGGGGAAGTTTTATACACTTCCAATTGGATCGCACTGAGTGAAACCTCTAAGCAGTCTATGAAGTTCATGATGATCAATGCTGAGAAACCGTTCGTTTTCACTTGCGGTGGTATTCTAAAATTGGATATAGAGGCATTGAAGAATGTTAGTATCACAGAAGTTCAATAACACCCCCGTCGAAATCGCCGACAGCTATTCATTTTTCGGAATAATGATGATTTTTTTCAGACACTCCAGCTGGCTTATTCTATCTACAACATTCTCTAGGATCACAGTTATCCTCAGGCGACTCTCCGTAGCTCTCTACTTCTCTAGCTCTTCGGGCGTCGCCGAGCGAGGGGAATATCGCCCCCCACTACGTGTGTGCCGTCACGGACTCGGAACAACTCGAGAGGGGAAGTGTGTTTTGGGAATTGACGGTGGCTATAGCGTTCTTGCTTGAATAGTCACAGTGTCCCTCCTGCCAAACACTTGTAGATGCGTGACAATTTGAAATTAATTAAATGGATTCTCGGATAAAAGATAGTCGAAAGACAACAGTATTTCTGAATATTTATATCTTCATTGTATTCGTCGATTGAAAACTAATACAGAATACTTGTATGTTAATAAGACTGTTCAAACCGTTGAGAAATTGCGTTTTCAAGGATTCTGGCGGCATCGATGTCGTCCATCTCCCATCTCTGAATCATAATAATTTTAATGAAAATAAATATATTGAAAGGCCGCGGAAATAAAAACAAAAAATTGCTGAAATTCGGGGAAAATTGTGTTTCATGACTTCTCAACCAATAAGGGATTACAAATCCTGAGGATAACATGAAAGATTCCCCATTTTTCTAGGACTTGAATGCGGAGAGTTCAAGGTGAACTGAATGGAATGAATAATTTTAAAAAATTTTCAAATGTACAAAGAAAAACGAAGGGGAAATTGCTTTCGTTACAACATAGTCCATATTTTTTTTGCTAATCAATTAGGAATTTGCTTCTGAATGGAATTTCTATGACGATGTATTTTTCATTGAACTCAATGATTCATTGAATTCAACATTGTTCCAACGCTGGCAGCCAACACAGTCCCAATGTTGACAGCCACAAAAAGTTGGAAATCAATTAATGCTTCCATTCGAACGCAAAATATTCAATAGCTTGAAAAATTTATTCCGTTTCTGGCAACTGGATGAAACGCATTGCAGGAGATCTGAAGGGGATAAATAATTTTAAGAAATTGTATAAAACACAAGGTGGTTGACAGGTATGGACACCGCCATCTTGGATACCTCCTCCCTCTGCGACAAATTGCTTTAAAAATGGCGGCACTCCCACCTCGTACTTTTGATCATTTCTCAAACTCATGTTTCCCATTCAAATCACTCACAACTCGCTTCGTTCAGTTTCTACGAAATGAACAAATTTGTAAAGCCATCTTTCAGATTTTTCTATTGCTCATTGGCTAAGAATTCATGGGGCAAAGTTTTCCTCGAATTTCACTCCCTTTATTTCTCCCGCGGCCTTTTCATGAAACAGATTCATCGGTCAGTTATCCTGAGTGCTAGATAATTTTTACGTACATGTACATCTTCTGGCGCTACAAACGCCGGAACAACACTGACGTCCGGTGAAGCACTGAAATCACATCGTGTTAAAAATTTCTAATTCGTCACTTCATTTGTGCTCATTATCGTGACTAACCGAGACGTTCCTGGGTCTACACGGCGGTGGTTGTGCGTTGACAGCCGCTAACAGCATCGCAACGAACAGGAAAAGATAAATGAACTTCATTATGCGGAAGGATATTTCTTACAATTTTCCTTGGTTACTTTCGATGCGAGTGACGACTGATGGAGGCAATTGCATTTATATGCGAGCAGACTTCTCCCTATTGCTCGCAAAGTTTGCTTTAGCTCAATGGATTTTTCCACATAACAATGTTTGCATGTACCATATTTTGTTGTGTATTGTTTAGACAAGAAAGAGGGAAATAAGGAAAGCAAATTTGTTTGACAACACATTCATCTGTAAATGAACTTTTTTTCAATAATATTTGAGAATGATTATGACTGCAACTGAGAATGGAAAATACCATCTTCATTTACTGCTTGTCACGATTCCTCGTCTGGAAATTGGTATTGCATACTTTCCAAAATGGGAAACTTGGAAATCATAGCAGAACAATTTTGTTCCGAGCTGTTGCGATACGGTTTTTTACTCGGCCAGTCCTCGCCTTCGGCTCGAACAACAACTTTCTACGCAAGTGGGGAATTGCTTTCGTCTCAACATAGTCAATTTATTGTTGCTAATAAATTAGCAACTTGTTTAGGAATGGAATTTCTATGACGATGTATTTTAAATTAAATTCAATGACTCATTCAATTCAATACTGTCCCAACGGCGGCAGCCAATACTACCCCAACGATGGCAGTCAACATTGCCCCAACGCTGGTTGACAACATTACTCCAATTTTGGCAGCCAACATTGCCCCGATTTTGGCAGCTGACATTACCCCAACATTAACAGGCAACATTGTCCTAACGTTGACAACCAACATTGCCTAGACGCTGGCAGCCAACATTGTCCCAACGTTGACAGCCAACATTGCCTCAACACTGACAGCCAACATTTTCCCGAGGTTAGCAGCCGACATTGCCCCAACATTAACAGCCAACATTGTCCCAACGTTGACAGCCAACATTGCCTCAATGCTGACAACCAACATTGCCCCGATGTTGGCAGCCGACATTGCCCCAACATTAACAACCAACATTGTCCCAACGTTGACAGCCAACATTGCCCCGATGTTGGCAGCCGACATTGCCCCAACATTGACAGCCAACATTGCCCCGATGTTGGCAGCCGACGTTGCCTCAACGTTGACAACCAACATTGCCCCAACCTTGAAATTTTTTGCCTTTCCCTGAATATTGGTTTCAAAATCAATTTTGTCAACAACAGATGATACAAACTCAGTCAAGGTGGCTTTGGAAAGAGTATTTTAAATAACAATTGGATTTATTTAAACTATAATTTTTTCAGTTATCCGGGCATGGTTTAAAAATGGCCTATTCGAACTCCTGAAGCTAAAATGAGTTATCCTGATATGAAAAAATAGGAAATTTCGGATTTGACAAATACAATACTTCCTTTCCGAAGCAAAAATATTATTAAAATCTTCTTATACTATTTATCTTGACATTTTCCGGCTGCGAAAATTCAATTCGTGGTTAGAATTCATAAAACTGTCATACAATAACTAGATTGAATGGATGAAACCGACATTTTAGTAAAAATCCTGTTTTTTCAAGAATTTTACAGTGTAAGGCTCTTATTATTCTTTTCTTCCCCAAGTTTATTTGATTGAAATTAATTTTTCCTTATTTACATATTTGCACATATTTCATTGAGGAGATGAGGGAATTTCCGAATCACCTTCGTATCATTGTGGACATTGCAGGCTAAAAAGGAAAGAACAAGAAAGATAATACAGATTTCCGTCGCTATTTACTAATATGTTTTTTAAAAATAATATTTGACCAAAATCGTTTCACGTTAATGAAAAAAAATTGTTTAAAATCGGTTCTGTTTGCTGTTCTTTATTTTAAAAAAGTGTTAGGAAAAGTGCGAATGAGTACGAAGTTCCAGTTCCGAAACAATAAATTTATTTATTCAAATAATTCAGTCCCTGAGAGTTAAACAACTCGTTACAATAATTTTCAACGGTACAATGATTGCACCTATTGAGGAGCAAGTTCAATAATTAGTACGATAACTAGTAAATGCAGGAAAATTCCATCCTTATGCGCTACAAATTTAATTTATACCCGTGATGGAAATCATTTTTATAATAAAGACAGTCGCTGAGATTCAAACAATTTTCTCATCAAAAAATAGAATTTTATAATAGAAAAATATATAACCGAAATTTTTTTCGAAACTTGAGAGAACTTCTCAGAAATCTGTTTTCATAGTCAATTCTGGATCCAAAACATTGAGAGCAGCTCCCACCAAATGCAGAGATCCAGTAACCAATACTTGCGCTCTTTCCTCTTCGCTGAACTCCTCCCGAATCCTCTCGAATACCTCCAACAGTGATTTTCCAGTGACACCACCTTTCCCCCAAATATTACAGTGAAGTTGGCACTTCTTCTGCTGCTCCTCACTCGTAGTCGTGAAATTCTCCTGATCAGTGCAGTTCTTCCCCGAAATATTTGGTACGAAGTAAGCCTTGACGAATGGAATCTCCCTCAAAATATCCAGATGCTGGGAGGAAGCTCGGTTGCCGGTAGAATTGAAAATCAAAATTTTCTTGCAGTTGTTCTTTTTCTCCTGAGTCTTTCTGAACCACTGGACGCAGACTTTCATGCTGTCAATTGTGTGGGCCCCGTCGAGATAACAGTCCGACGATTTGCCATGCAAAACTTGAGTTCTTCCTGGACACTTGCAGT